GTCTAATACGAAATGCTTACATCACAAACGCGAGCTGTTGAGTGAACAATTCCTCCAAAAATCGCAAATTGTGCTTTTATTTGTTAGTCCAATAAAAAAAAAATCGGATAAACAACGGCAAGTAGTTGATATTTGTGTATTCTAGCCTTATACTAGCCAATAATATCTAAAGTACATATGAGGCCGTGTTCATATTTGTGTAGGTGAAAGACACTTCGGCATTTCATAAAGCAGGGTCGGCAAAAAGAGCAATGTGGTTACAGGGCATTATTTCATTGTGTGCTTCTTGGCCAAATTCTAGTCCTATTGAAGAAGAGATATTTGGACCCGAACATCATTTAATTCGAGTAATGTCAATGTGAATACTGTATTCATAGTAGGCATATATATCCTCATTACTTAGAATTATTATAACCGTACTATGCATTTAGAATGTAGATAAAATAAATAATCAATAACAGCACATATTGAACTGTAGTGTATCAAGGTACTACCTGTATAGTTTATTTGTTAAATATATTCCATGTTCATGTTTTAATGTAAAAATAATGAACTTTGTCGAAATTATGAACATTGTGTAAATTATAAATTTAAAAGGCGTTGCTTTTGTCATGTGTGTGTCAAATCCGTTATTTAATGTCCACTTCCAGTGAAGTGGTGACAAAGACGTGTAAATAAACATTTAATGATGTAGGCGTACACTAAAGATCGCTTTTAACATTGTGCATAAATGTAGATAGACTAGAAACACTAAATATTGCTGATTATATTGCCGATTTTATAAATGTGAATGTTTATGATGGACTTTAGCTGTATCTGTGTTATTGAGTAATGTAAAATATGGAATAATTGTGTACATTTCGGCGTGAATAGGATTACTATGATATTGTTGGATGTATATAATGGAAATATAATTTGTTGTGCTTTTGTATATGGTTATACTCATTGTTATCAGTGTCGTGGTATTATCCATAAGTGTAGCTAAGTTTGGTTTTGCCTACGACACTTCCTGCAACCTCTGTTATAATGTTTCGGAGTATTATCTATATATTGGTGACTTTTTGAATAGCAGAGGCAGTCTACATCTGATCAAGAGGCTAATATTCTCTATTCAAACTATGTATACGAGTCGAATGTTGTACTTGCAGTGGATATTGTTATTATATCGATTCATCAACTATTTTGTTATTACTTAAATCAGAGGTTATCACTTTTAAATTCGGAAAAGTGTACATTTAACAGCATAATCTTTATGTTTTACAGATTAATTAATTGTACATTTTTGTAAAGCATTCTGTGCATTTGAATAAATTTTATGTACAATTTTGCAAAGCGTTCTGTGCATTTGAATAAATTGTATGTACAATTATGCTTCTTGATTATTGCCAAGTACTTAATTGTCTTCTTTATACCGAATTAGAGGTACTTAATTGTTACATTTAAATTAACTGTGCATTTAAATTTATTGTACATTTAAATTTATTGTACATTTTATTTATTATACATTTTAATTTATTTGTTTAATATTGTGTACAATTTTGTAAATTTACTTAGAAAGTCTACTTAAAGTTGAATTAACAATTTTATAAATTATTTGATTAATCAATTTATTAATTTATATATATTGTATGTAATAAGTGGGCCTGTATATGTACTAGGTAATTAACACACTCAAGTTTGTATTATTTATATATTAAACTGAATACTTATAGTCTGTTTTGAATTAGTTCACCAATTGCCTATGTTAATGAATTTATTCTAAAACTTGTCAGTAGTGATGCATTTAACCCAGTGAGTAAAAAGGACAGAAATGTCTAAAACATAGAAACAATGTTTAAATAGTAGCAATATACTAACTTTCCATCTGCCAGTGTGTAAGAAATTATTAGTTGATACTTTATTGTGTTTAAGAGATCTGATTCACCGAAACATAAACTGTGATATTTTAAGGATGCACCCTTTTCATTGGCTCAGAGTAGGAATCCTTATAGACTTTAACTATCAGTGAAAAGGCTGCGCCCATAAAATATTTTGGCTGGTGATTCGGAATAAAGTCTTTTATAATAGTAAGGGATATTTATAAGTGGTTACACTCCATCTAATGGCTAAGACAGTATATATACCCATATCATTCTAAAACGGATGTCTGATAAAAGCACTGTTCACATAGAGGAATGCTCCCTAATCTGTGAAAACCAGATAGTTTCATTGATTTCGTTGTTGTGACCAGGACTGGATTTATTCTTAGGGGAAGAGACCCAAATAAACGTCGTTGGTAGTCATAACTATCCAGACCATAAAGCACATTTGGTTTTCAAAATTAGAAAGTAATAGTAGATATAAAGAGCATTTATATCGTAGACTGCCATATTTGTAATATCAGCCAATGAGCGGTTAAAACAAAAATAATGGCTATTTAATGCAAACGCTTAGTTTTCGTTAGTTCAGTTATGAGATGACTCAGATACTCGTGTTTACATTTATTTAAAACTGAATATTCTCAGATTATTTCGTTAATCGAATAGTAAGTCATAAACACAATTTTAGTACAGTCATTTGCCAAAAGTAATTCACCCTTCTGAAAACAACGCAAGGGTAGTGAGTTATCCTCTGTAACTAGAAAACTAAGGAACTCCGTTGGCAGGCACAACGACCTAGGTCACTAAAAATAGAAAGTATTACGTATTGGTCAGTGCTCTGAGTATATACTATCTCAACAATAGCAAATATCAGCATTCATCGGTATATTCCGGTACTTTCCGGCGTGTTCGGAGTGCTACATAGATTAGGCAAACGGTACTTAAATTTTATATTGATGATTATTGCTCAGATCTAATTTGTATAACTATTACTCGCTGCCAATCATGTAACACATAATTGTTACAATTGCTGTCAATCATTCAGTTATTGCGTTGTGACATTATTGTTACTGCTGAAATTTTTAATGTTTGATAAATAAACAAAATATGATAATAATAAAAAAACAACGTTTGTCTATTTTTGATATCTACCTTCTGAAATCCAACCAGAACTCAAACGGAAGGGAGAGAGGGAGAGAGAAATGGGGTTTAGCGTCCACTCGACACAAATTAGGTGATTTCGGGACTAACATATGGTTCAATTTTATTTCAATAATTCACTTGTGCGTAGGGTTTTTTAGCAGTGGGGGGAAAACGGAGGACCCGGAGAAAACCCAGGAGGTTCGACAGTCGACCCTACTCCTTGTCACGTATAGCCGGTTAATCGAAACCAGGTCAGTTGACTCAATTACAGACCTTGTGATACAACGCTCACGCGCTAACCATTCGGCCATCCATCCACCCTTCAAACGGAAGGAGTCCGTGGTAATCAAAGTTGCCATAAATGGGAAGTAATCTATGCCGTTCTACTAGGTTTAAATAGATTAGTTAAAGGAGCTAAATCGGTAATATTTTGGAGCTAGAAATTGGCACAAATGGGTCGCAACACATATAATAATATAATAGGAATTTATATAAACTGTTTTACATTCAATCGTTTCTGTTTTATTGTGAATTGCCATCAGTTATGTTCGGCGATATACGCCAGAAGTCTCAACCCAAAGTCAGTTTCTAGCGTCTGGTTATTCCAGTCAACATCGATAGTATTTATTATGCATGCTCTACAAATAAGAATATGGCATTACCGTTTGATATGACGTGTGGAATATATGTCTAGCATCATTATTTGAGCACCTTGTTACAAATTGCACTGAAACGCATCATGGTACACGATTCGTGTACCAATGGTAAAATGTTTATTTTGTCTGAAATATGGATATCAGAAGTCCATATTTTCCAGGTAAGATCACCACACCAATGTTGATTTAAATTACAAAAACAATCGTGTTTTCAATGTCGAAGATTTTGGATGATATTGGGTTACGGACTTAGCTACTCTAAGAGTTACTCCACTTCTGGTTTGTGTATCCCACAATTTTCATGTTGAGCTCATACAAGTTTTGGAGCAATATAATGTCAAATCTAATCTTCATGGCTATGTGGTAGGAAATCGGGATGGGGGGGGGGGGTGTTAATGTAGAAGTTAATGGGATAATGAAGCTTAAAGTTGCAATTTCATATTTTTAAGTTATATTTTTAAAATTTATTAAAATAAAGCCCAAAAATAGATGGTATCTATAAACAGTCCTACCTTGTTAAAGAATAACCCCATTAATCCTATAATTCACTATTGCCAGTTGAGAAATTGGCAAAAATATCATTTTCATCTTCAAATTCCAACGTTTGAAGATAGAAAACAAGGGAGGTAATTGGGAGGAAAGTGTGTTATTATTTCCGGTGTAAATGAGTTTTAAGTGTGAGAATGACACCTATGATCGTATAATAGTGAGTTGACAACCTATTGAGCAAAATACAGAAATAATTATGTTTTGACTTTCTTAGAAAATATGAAATTGTAACTTTAAAGTGCCTTACAACCTGCTATCAGTCCTTCGAATTCTAATGCCCAACTTTGCAGCTCTTTTGCAGAAAGAAAAACGAAACTGGCAATGCTCGACAATCTCTTAGGTTTATTCTAGAAAACATGTGTTAAATTTACGTTAGAAAACCCTACTCACTCTTGACATAAAACTAGGGTTACATTAGAAAACTAACCATAATCTATCCTGAGATAAAATTAACGTTAGATTAACGTTCAAATTATAACCAATAACACACGTTATTATCATATCAATTGTTCGAATTAAGAAACCGCCCAAAATAGTATCGTTACATTCACGTCATATAGCTAACGTAAATGTATCCATAGCCATTCTGACGTTAAATTAGCGTAGTTTTAACTAAATCTAACCAAATGACGCAAAAGTAACGTAAATTTCACATCAGCTTGCTATCTGGGTATATATATATATATATATTGCTACATCGCCTATGTCCAAAGACCACTTTTGTGGCAAATCTGTATTTTGAATAAAATAGAAATTCATACAGTAAATAATATAATGTTTATTACATGGTAAAAGTTGATATATCCAGTATGTATACAAAAAACATGGAATAAATGATAATATGATTCAATATACATCGCAAAATTATTTAAACGCGTATGACCCCATTCTTAATGCTGTGCCTATAGCATTATAAACTGTGTATGCGGAACATTTTGAAATAGAAATCCAATCCAATTTTTCATAAGCATGACCGCGCACAATAGAAGGTCATTTGGTATTGAAAAGAAACTGGTGGGCATTGCTTATAATGTCTGACGTCATTATTAACAGTTGTTCTTACTATAGCATTACGTAAATAGCAGCAAGCACTTAAAATATTGATTGATATACTGCAATATATACAACCTACAAAATATTTTTTCTAATAACGTTGATAAATGAGTGTTATCTACTAGACCAGAAAAACCAGTTAAATATGTCACAACCCATGTATCCGATGACTTAAGTCTGTTCCAGTCTTTTTTTTCAACATTCGTCTTGGTACGCATTTCTTTGTACATAACCATGGACCGTATATCGCAGTCGTTTTCTCTATAAAACATTCTAAAGATCAAGATGACGGCGCAGTCGATCAACTGTGTCCATAGTATGTATACACGCAACGAAGCATCGTGATGGTATCGTCTTTATTGCATTCCAGGCCATTGCTTAGACAGTCCAATATATTTGTCGACATTTATGTGTTATAGCCATATGGTTAAATTTGAGTTATTCATAGTTTTCTATGAGCTATGATTTAGTAACATTATTTGATATCCTACTTGAGATTATAATCATTTCATATATGCTTATATGTATATAATATTTATAAGTACCCAGTATGTCCGTTCCAATATAGATTTAAAATATATTTTAAAATTATCAAACAATATTTTTGATACTACGAAGATATACAAAGTCTCGAACCATTTCTCCTTCATGAACCCATATTATAGCTGAACAATTAAATTGCGGGAAGCACTTTTTTTCCTTTATTTACACCATACTTCTTCACCAATTTGCCATTTAATTATATAAAGTTTTTGCCTATTGAAATTGTAGAGTTTATTTAGAACGGAGAAATTTCTTATGATATGATTGCACAGCTGATTGTATATGGCCGTGTTCGGGTAGTGACCAACATGGTGCCGTGGCGTTAAATGTTGGGTCGTGTCGTTCTACTAACCGGGCGCTGTCTTCCTCCAGTCTACCGTTAACTTTCATCCGTAACGTAGCTGACTTTCGTCCATTGAATGTATATTCTGTGGCGGTTATAGTTTTATGTAAGAACAATCCTGAAATAGATGATATTACATTTATTCCGTTGGAAATTTGAAACAATAACCAAACAGTTGTATTTATACATCTAACTATATATATAAAATCATCCCGGATACAAATCAAGGGGAAGCTAACTTTGTGTAACACATCGATAGGCTATAAGTGTATGGTTACTGTATTGGCTTTGTATTGGAATTGAGCACTTGAACCAAGGATAATATCAAGTATAGCCAAAAGCATTTTGAACAGAGAGCGGCGCTACCAGGTTTGTATTATAATTTCGCGTGGGCAGCAAAATAAAAAAGACCACGGTTTCTCGAACAAGAGCCGGCTGATTTTACGAAAGTTTAATTAAATTTCAGTTGTTCTAAAAATATACTGATCGACTTGTAGATCGACCGTGTGAGGATTGGTACACGTTTAGTGCATTGTTCTTGAATCAGAAATTAGATTCGAAAAACAGCGAGCACAGAATCCAGACGCAGATATGGAATATGTAGAAAGTGACCCAGACCCAGAAATCTCACGATCACATTTGATTTAAAAAATGGGTTAACATACCTAGAATACCTGACGATTGTTTAGATAATCTGTTATCTTTATCAACTTCTACATTGAGAAAATCATCTCCATCATCGTCGCCGTACCAGTGTTTGTGTTTCTGTATTAAGATGCGTACTCCTGACTTTAATCTGATGGTCAGCACCTCCACACCTGGGCCAATCTTCGCCATGGCATCCCCAAGATGTAAGACTTTGTAACTGTCCCATTTATAAGATCTAGTATTGATCACGATTCGATCTAACTTAGCTAGTATTGTAATATTTCCATAAAGAACTGACGAAGCCTTGATAAATCGTCGTTTATAGCCATGCTTATCTGTCTTCTTACCAACTGTTAACTTTATATTCACTGATAGATCTGAAACAAAAACATTAATAGATAATACGTAGATTTTACATTGCTTAAAGTCTCTGTACGTGTTTGCATTTTTCGGAAAATAATTCACTCTAAAATGTAATAAAATTTTATTAAGATCACAAAATGAAAATTAACGGTAGTGGAATCATTTGGATTAATAAGAGGCACATCAAAGTGGAAATTATAGATGGTGGTGGTTTGCGCTGACTCTCCTATATATTATATCGTCGTAAGAGTATGCCGAATGCTGATACATTTTCAATTCACCTTATCTTCGTAAATATTCAAGGTATCAAACCATTTTACACTAATATTCCTTTTAAATATTGTGGTTTGTAAGGTATTAATAAAATGACGACCAGGCTTGAAAATCATGATTTTGCTTTATTTGTTTAATAAAGACGAAATAACAACTTACCGATTTCCGGATCCTTTATCAATTGAAACACATCATTTTCTTTGCCCTTGACATCAAAACATACAGGAACCTCTAACCCAACTATATCTACCATAAAATGGGGATCTCTACCAACTGAAATGTTTAACAAAATAAGGGTATAAAATATCATACCGACAAATAAGTGTAAAAATATCTAGAGAACTTATAAAGTAACATCAAGTGTTTCGAAGAGTAAGCACAATCAGCCCCGAACATTTGCTACTAAATCTGAGTGACCATCCCTCAGTCGGTTCAAAATACACTGGATATTCGAATAAATAGTCGGGTATCTACAGAAAGAATTAATTAAACAAATCCAACAATTTCATTTAAAATAACATAAACATAAATGTTACTTTTTCAAATGAAGAAAATGAGATTTCCTACAATACCTCTACCCCGATTCCGCCATCCACCAAAGGTTCCAACATTAAAGCCTGAAAAATAAACGAAATAATTAATACCAGAAACGACTCATGATTGATATTATGACAAAATGTGTCCTGTTGCATTGTTTTTGTTTTTTATGTACCTCGTGATACATCGCTGACCAATCAGCCTCAGATCTAGATTGGAATTTGTATGTAACAACCCGTCTTCATTAGCCCAGTAGGACGTTAAACCCCATTTCATTTCACTTCATTGCATTTGTATGTAACAATAAATAAGAAACTAATTTCTACCTTCGCCTTCATGTGTACTAACAACATCTCTCTGTTGTTGTTGTTGTCTGTCATCACCCGGTTTGGTTACAACCATAGATGTTACAGGTGTCACAAAATTATACTGAAAATAAAAATCTCAAAATAATTATTATTTAATCTTACAGATAATTTGACTGCAAAAAAGTGAACAGCGTAGCTAAAGTGATATTAGATATTGCAGAAGAGCTATCCTACCCTACTACATATACCAACTGAGTTCCAGCAAATTGGTTTTGTTTTAGTTCTTTTTGGTTTGTTTTATTTAAATTTATTAATGCCAGAACGTCAAATACTCTATGAAATCATTTCCAATATCATATTAAAATTAATGTATTCCAGTAAAATTTAAAATCTAAACTAAAGCACATCTATCAGTTTTTAAAGCAAAATTAACTATTAACGAAAGTTTGTATAATAATCAAAAGTGTATGTGCACTAAACACAATGGGTACTATATATATCAGTTCTGTCTTTTTTGTTTTTTCAGGTAAGTAAATACATCATTGTTTTTAATTTATAAAGTGCATTCTAGAACAATACAACATCTGAACTAAAGCATATCTAACTATTTTTTTTAAAGAAAAAACTGTAAACGACAGTTAATATGATAATCAAGATTCTGTGTGCACTAAACTTCTTGGGTATTATACATTAGTCCTTCCAACTATTTATGAATATATAATTTATTAAAATCATTCTTTTTTCGGTATGACGCCCAAAATGGTTTTATCATATGAATATGGTTTTACGCTGTTAATGTACAACGAACTTTTTTGGAGAAAATATAAAGTAAATGAGTGCACAACTGGTGAACAAATGGGTACAAGTTAATAGCCAGACATTTTTTTGGTAGAATTTACTGAAAGTATACTAGAGGCTTTGGGTTGAATGAAATACTTGTTTGAAAAGGGAAAGTAAATAAGTGCACAATATGTTGACAAATGGTAAAATATTGTAAGAACGTGGCATATGTATGATATCTATTTCATTCATTCATATCAATATGAGACAGACGTAACAAATTTCATAATCGCATGTTTGGGAAGATTGTGGTATCGTTGAAAAACAAATCTGATCACTAATCAGGAGTTCCAATATCAAACCCAGTGTTGGCGTACAAGTTCTTACTTTTTGTCAGAGCTAACGTGCACACTTTAGAGTCCACGAAAAGAACTCTTTACATATAGAATTCAAAGAGTAGGCGGAACGCAGCTGTCTGTGCATACGTTCGCTTACAGTACACGACATAGCGTTTGCCCTTCTTTAGCCCGTGTGATGCAGAAGATTAGGACGTTAAACCCCATCTCATTGCATTTCTGATTACTCATCATTGCTTCTGAAAGTCATCGTCTACGACCGATGTGGAAACTGGCCCGTTTTTGTGAATATAGCCTGATGCCAGCTAGTGCGTGGAACCCGATTTTAAACCCGAACCGAGGAATTGCACCTGTTAGTTACAATGAATTACAACCCAATAATCTTTTTCTTAAATCTACCTGTATTGACATATCTACAGCCTGCTTCTTCAAAGCTTCCCTTTCTTCTTCCTCTATGGCCCCCTCTCGGTTTCTGAGGATATCTTGAATCTTCAGGTACGCCCACATCTGAAACATACACGCTATAATTAATCAATCTTTTTAAAACTATACAAGTGAAAGGCAGATTCGCTTTCCATTGAAGGTATCGCCTGACCTGTTGTTACATATTGACGAATGAACTAGTACAACTAAACAAATGAAGTTGCATTAAGTGTTCTAGAAATAGTAAGGATGTCCTAAAACATACACAATACCTTGTAACAAATATTATAGGTAATTGAAGCAATGGTCAACATTTATAACTAATTGAAGCCAAAATTTTCATTTACAACTGATTGAAACAGTATAATTATTTATAAATGGAATTGGGTTTAACGTCCTACGGTTCCGCTCCGACTTATAATCATTTATAAGGAATTGAATCAATAAATATCAGTTTTAACTAACTGAAGCCATAGTTCGGATTTATAACTCATTTATACAATTGAATCGATAGATATCATTTATAACTAAATGAAGCAATAAATATCGTTTAAAATTAACCGCAATCTAGTTAAAATATAGGTCTATATTTCGTTTCGTTTTTTATACTTTCGATTACCTACACTACATGTAGACCTAACAAGTTATAGTGGGAGTTCACGTTCTATGACGTCAGGTACCAAGCAAGCGACATTTGACCTGATTACGTCAGTCATTCGATTAACCAATTATCGACCGCCATGTATTTTTTTATCTACTTTTGCTTTGTTTTGATTTCTATTGCCGCTAATGTCTACCCACAGTTCCGCGCAAAAAAGATCAAACGCTCGATTCGACAGACCATTTGATTGGATGACCCCTCATTTCAAGCAGAACACGAGTTAAATAACAACGCTTCCAGATCCAAGTGTAGTAAAGACAAGTAAAATCGAAATTTTGAACTATAAAAACAAACCGAAATTGGATCTGTGTTTTAATCAAGTAAAATCGAAATTTTGAACTATAAAAACGAAACGAAATTGGATCTGTGTTTTAATCAGATTGAATTAACCGAAGCAATACTTAGCATTTATAACTAACTGCAAATAAATATCATTGATAACTAATTGAAACAATGAAAATCATTTATACTAATAGATAACTTTTATAAATAATTGAAGCAATCAATGTCGTTTATAACTAGGTGAAGCAATAGTTGTTATCATTTATCAAATGAAAGTCCATAGAGCTTCTAATTACGAACCTTTTCTGTGATATCTTTGAAATTTTCAATTTCCTGTTGTCTTCTGACGTGAGCTTCGAGTTCCAACTCTATCAAACCTTGTGATGTATTACCTCTGATATGTATTGGTAATGATTCTAAGCTACCATTGATAAGTTTTCCAGCCACTAGAATTTCCGAACCATTGAAATAATTACTAAAATCAGAATCTGTTATACCTTCAACCGAATCGTCCAAATAATCAAAATTAAGATCTGTTATCATTGAAGTGGACACTTCATCATAGAATCCTTTGATTTGAAGAGCTGAATCGGCTTCTTCGTAGATTCGTCTGGCAAAACCATCATTCTGGACAGCGATTTTCTTCATGAGTTGCCAATCAGCGTAGACACCAAAGGCGAGGGTGTAAATAGGTATATGATATCTGTTACTGTCTCGGATGTTTTCCAGAATAAGTGTATCTTTTGTCTCGCCAACAGTTGATCTTCCATCAGTTAAAAACACTATTACCGATCGGTTATGTTCACTGGCATGTTCATATAAGAAATTAACTCCCTTTAACATAGCTTCATTAATATCAGTCGCTAAAATAAACACAAGAAACAGGTGTTGATCACAGACACGAAATAAGCATATGAAGTGGCTATACAATAAAGTCAAGTTCTCAGGGATTTATATTATTGCTTTCAGTCATCATTTGTATCCATATACTTTATTTTGTTTTCAAGCATTGACCTTACTTGCAGGCTACTTAATTGCATGTGAACTTCGTGAAACGGTGCTCTAAACCTTATTATTCTGATAGTTTTGTTAGGTCTGAGGTGGGACTAATGCCCAACACCATATCACATTGTCTTTGAATGGCTTCGGTCTATTAATTAGTTTATTGTTAACCATTTGTATATAACCTTCTGTTAATGACTAGAGAAACCTAGTCGAAACGTCGCTCAGAGAGAGAGAGAGAGAGAGAGAGAGAAATGGGGTTTAACGTCCACTCGACACAAACTCGGTCATTTCGGGACTAACATATGGTTTAATTTTATTTCAATAATTCGCTTGCGCGTAGGGGTCTTTAGCAGTGGGAGGAAACCGGAGGACCTGGAGAAAACCCACGAGGATGGACAGGCGACCCTACCACGCCAGTTGACTCAATGACAGGCCGTATGATACGGCGCGCGCGTGCTAACCATTCGGCCATCCAACCCTCCGAAACGTCGCTCAGTAATAAGCAGTAATTGTATATTCTGTAACATGTTAGATTGTATCATTGCTTGATAACGGCGAGGGCACCCCCATTGAAAAGTTGCAATTAATAAACCTAGTGAATGTTATTCATAAAACTGTCTGTTATACGAGCGTATATCGCTTTCACTAAATGCCATTTAAAGATAATAAATATAATGGTGTTTACAATAATACACACTTGGTTATTTATTAGTATGTATGATGGACGTAAAACAAGTTCAATGTATTCTGTATTTGCCGTTATTGCAGTCTTTCTGTTTCATTTCCTTTATTAGGTAGTAAACATTATGATTAGTTGTATTTACCTCCTTTAGTTTGCAGGTTTTCTATTTGTTGAACAGCTTTCACTAAGTTAGCATCAGTAACAGGTACCATATCTTCATTGTTCCAGAACTCAGAATACGTATTGAAATCTAATATGTTAAAACTGAAACATATTTGAACATTTGAAATGTTTTTGGAGACAATTTAAAAGAGAGCATAAATGAATAGGTTAAATAAATGAAAAGATCTACTGTACAGTATTAGTTGTCACAAAATCAACCTGAGACGTCTTCTTATGCTCTGAATTAAATCTTTGGATTTTAATGTTATTAAATTGTTATTTACTGGTTGATATTACATTATCTGTTTTGTGTAATGTTTGTTCCAGATTTTTTTTGAGTAGCTATGATGTTGAATAGACTAACACAACATATTGACACCCTGAACATCTATCTGGTTAAATCACAGATCCTATTTGGTTTCGTTTTCATAGTAAAAAATTTCGTTTTACTTTTCTTTACTACACTTGGATCTGGAAGAGTTGTTATTTAACTCGTGTTCTGAATGGTGTCAAGGATAAGCCAATGAACCGGTCTGTTACGGCGAGCTTTAGGCCTTTTTTAGCACGGAACTGTGGGTATCCACTAGTAACATCAATGCTGATTGGTTAATCAAATGTCTGACATCATAGGGTCATAAGTCGGTCTTTTGACCCCTGACGTGACCTATCGCTATAACTTGTCAGATCTTCATGTAGTGTAGGCCATCGAAAATATAAAAAAACGAAACGAAATATAGATCTGTATTTTAATCAGATTGCCCTGAACATCCACTTTTAAACCAGATTCCAATTTGCTGAAGCAATTTCAATTTACAATCACGCAACTGAAATGTGCTTCCATAACAGCAAAATAAGCCCAATTGCCAGATAATATTTATAATACGAGTCTTAAGTTAAAGCCTCAACATGCTAAAATAAATATAAAATATGGCGTTCAAGACGATACCGGTAAAAACAATCTGGCACTGGAAAAACATTTTAGTTCCAAAATTATTTAAATCAACCAATGCTACATAAGTTAAGACCCATTGAATGTTCACATTGGGTGCTATTGAATTCAAACCAACATATTTCAACCTTAGGTCTACAAACGTGGTAATAATATTTCTATTCTTCATGGCGGTTTCAATTCTTTGATGTGGTTAATCATATTCAACAATAGTGCATATTTTTGATTTCTCTAGAGATCTGGGAGCCACGGTGGCTAGGTGGTTAAGACGCTGGCTCGCTTGCCTGGAGGTCGGGTGTTCGATCCCTGCATTGGCCGAGAAAGTTCATCTGGATTTTTCGACGTGGTTTCCCCTTGTCAGTGGTGCAGAACGGAGGGCCTGACAAGGACAGCTGTCTAGTCCTTCGCATGATACGAAAAACCGAGGTCCCGTGTATACATTGGAATGCACGTAAAAGATCCCTTTGCAGTTGGAATTCGATATAAGGGTAGGCGATAGTGTCGCTGCCCGGGCAAAATTTCCCTCATAGCACACTGTATGGCGTATGCCCGTCTTCATTAGCCCAGTATAGGAGCAGAACAGTAGGACGTTAAACCCCATCTTATTTTTCTAGAGATCTTATATATGTGTTTCAGTACTGGGACAATAATAAAACAATAGTAAGATAGTTTACCGATCACCAGGTCTTAATTCACTCAATATAATCTTCATGGCAGCCTTGAGTTGATCGAGTTTGCCAAAATCCATAGAAACACTGGTATCCAGGATAAATAAAATATCTTTCGGGAGTGGGAAGTTGAGCTTAGGAGCGAAGAAATGAACAAAATAGCCATCGATAATCTGCAAAAAAATCATTTGTTGAAACAATAATCATATTTCAACCATTGTCCTAATATTTGTTACTGCAAAAGACATGTTCTTTTGAGGTTATGGGATATATTCAGACTTGTTTGGTGACATCCGCTCATGATTGTTTCGAATACGGTAGAAAAGATTGGAACGGTGAATCTTCGAAAGGACAAAAGATTATTTAACAAAACGTATCAGTACACCGGGAACATCGAAATGATACTGTAACAATTCAATTATACTTACCAACACATCTCCAGCATCAAAATCTCTTTCAATATCATAGAGCACACTAAACATGCCTGATATGCCCCAGGGATTATTTTCTGTTTGTTGATCTATTGTTGGTCGGAAGGTAATATGAGCTGACTGGTTGTTATTTTTTATAATATATGCATGGGGGTTATTAGCTGCAATACAAAATTAAATATGCCATTAGTTTTCAAATGTCTTTATTATGGAGACAGTTCAGAATCCCGGATAGGTGTGATATTTAGTGCGCAGAATGTGTCAATCTAATATGGAAATAACCATACAACTGAAAAGCTGAACGTTCAGGATAAACGTTTGACGAGGACAATGAGTTAGGAGTTCTGCCTAAGCTAGTGCCGTCCTCACCAGACTCATGCCCCGTTGTAGCAGGGTCGGTTCGCAATACAACCAGGAACTTGCAGACGGGGTTGTCACCTGGAAGTTGCCATAGTTGAGTTTTGTTGTATACCTTGGTCAAAATAATGAATATTGACTACCTGTTAAATTAACACTGGTTAAAAGATCATCTCTGATTGGTGGAACTTTGAGAAATGTGATTGGTCTAGATTCTAGGATGTTGACGTCTACACGAAGATCACTGACTGGTTCACCAGGGTTGACGTATAATGTTTGATCATAGTATCCCCGCTTTCTCTTTAATACCTCCTGATAGGTCAAGTTAAAAGATACTTTCTTCATGGCCTTGATGTTCACTTGTACAACAAACCGATTCGTATCTCGCGGTCTACAAATAAAATATCAGGAATAAGGTGAGTTGGTGACGCTGTACATGGAAATTATTAGGTAATGGTTATTGAGTGCTGAAAGTATATGAGAATGTTTCGCCCTTCTTGCATTCGCGTTAGCTAATGCGAAGGCGACGCGAAAAAACCGTGGTTTATATCTGTCATCCGCATGAATCCTAGAGAAACACCAAAAATTTAAGCTTGAACAATGGGGTCGTGCCTGACATATACCGACCGGAAGACGACATGACGTGAAATGACTTCTTTTCTTCTTGGTTTCGTCTTAGTTAACGCTGAAAGAAGGGACAAAGGGGGTACTTATAGGATTCGATAGAATGCTGCTCAGTAATTCAATTCATATCTAGTTTAAGGGATAAATACTAAAAAAAATGGTTAATTCCTACTGAAAGACACTACCTATTCAACTAACTGATATGTTTTCGAAGAAAATAAGGACTTTCAGTTTTAGGTGGATTGTCCGCATGTTTCCAAACTAACTGTTGGTGTATTGTCTGGATAACCACGTCTATTAGACTACCATAATCTCGCACCATTAGGCATAAACAATAGCTGAATAGGCTAAAATCGTTTAACTGAGTTGTTTTTATGTACGAGATGATTTCTTATTTTGAAATTTAACATTTACTTTTTAGGTAATTGTAAAACAACAATTTATAGACAAAACATTGTCTATATCAAAACCATATCTAGAGTAGAGAGTATATTATAAAAACTACGTCCTTTATTTTTTATCAATTATTTATTTATGTTATCATGTTCAGACATTATCATATACATCGAGGAAATACTGAGTTCGTTTAGTTTAGTTTAGAGTTTTAAAAACAAACATTAGTCTGGTCAACATGTGTTTTCAGTTCGTCCAAATCTTGCCAGATTCAACTTTTTATCCTTCTATTTTCTCTAACAAACGATTATTCACAGTTTTACGTTCGACGTCAACGTCGCAGGGCTGTTAATATGTTTGAAATGTAAAGGTCACTGTTGACATAGATGAACAACGGCGACGATGATGACTATCACAGTGATGACAATAATGATAATGTCATAATGTTTATGATGAAGTTAGACGTGGTTGTGATTTGTTTTGATGACGACGATGCAGATGATCGTTGACAACAATAAAAAGGGTGACGATGATAATAGACCAAACAATGATTATAATGATAATGACGATGATAGGAGACACAATGATTATAATGATATTGACAATGATAGGAGACACAATGATTATAATGATAATGATGATGATGGGTAAAACAATGATAACGACGATGATAAGGCAGAGAATGATAATGAGTGTTGATAAGCCAAACAATGATAATGACGATGATAGACCAAATAATAATAAAAGGTCAAACAAGGATAATGACAATACGGTGATAAAAAGTCACCTTGCTGCCAGATGTCCAGCACTCTCCCCTTCCTTTTTAGCTTTAAGATATTTACGTTTAGCTGATTCCTTTTCTTCTACCAGACCTTTATATTCTTTTCCTTCAACGTCCCTGTAATTATAACAAAAACGTTTTTAACAGTTTGAGGTGCGGGAGATGGAACACCAAATATCTATCTGCCAAAATACTGGCTTATTAAAGAACTAAGGACAGTTGGGGTTAAGTCAAGGGTCGAAGAAATGTGCAACCCTAACAGACACACCCAAAATGCCACGGCCCCCAACTAGGTTATATAAGCGGGCACTGTTCCGTGGTCCAAAAAATTAAAAATTGTGCCAGGATGCGTAGGGTATTAATATCTAGCGCGCATGGAAGAGGCGATAAACTGCTTAGTTGGGGGGCATGGCATTTTAGATGTGCAATACCACCAGATACCCCGCAGACTTACATTCTGATGATACCAGATATGCATGCATTGATACCATATAGGAGAAAATTGGAACACTTTTCAGGTAGGTTGCCCCCCCCCCCCGGGCTCCTGGTCTATAAACCCTGTCCAGTGCATTCTTTCAGTTTGAAGTATGATGGCGATGGGGCCCATTATTACACGTCCTCTGGTTACAAAGAAAATGAAAATAAATCTGTTTCTAAATAATCAATTCCATAATGAAAACGATTTCTGTTCTTTGATCCAACACATAAAACAGACACGAACGGTTTGTTTCATTTCTACATTCTTTATTTTCTCTTTGAAATCTGCTATAAAGCACATATTTTCATCCATTGGCACAGCTGGGTAAACCACTGCTTTTAAACAATACATAACTATTAAACAAACCTCTTCTTTGATTCCTGTTCAAGTCATTGAATGTTTTATTACACAGGTTTTCTAACGGTTTTCCAAAGATTGTTTGAAGTCGAATGAGTATGGCCATAAGTAAACTAACTTTAATATCTTGGAGATCAACTATTTCCTACCAGCGTATAGTTCACAAATTAATTAACATGATTCGGACTTGGGGTGGTGGGGGGGGGGGTACGGTTCCATCCAGATTTTGGCCGTGGAGAGAGAGAGAAAGAGAGAGAGAGAGAGAGAGAGAGAGAGTGATGGGGTTTAACGTCCACTCGACACAAACTAGGTCATTTCGGGACTAACGCATGGTTCAATTTTTTTATTTCAATAATTCGCTAGCGCGTAGTGGTCTTTATCAGTGGGATGAAACTGGAAGACCCGGAGAAAACCCACGAGGTTGGACAGGCGACCCTACTCCATGTCACGTACAACCGAGGAATCGAAACCACGCCATTTGACTCAATGACAGACCTTATGATACAGCGCGCACGTGCTAACCATTCGGCCATCCAACCCCCGTTGGCCGTGGAAGTTACTCGGGATATTCCATTCGTGTAGGATTGCTGGCTGGTGGGGATGCGGTGGCTCAGTGAGATCCTGGGTTCCATCCAGGTTTTGGCCGTGCAAGCAGCTGAGGATTTTCCATTTGTGTAGGATTGTGGGCGGTTGGTACGAAAACAAAATTAGGCTAAGTTGTACTCCAAGATGACATGTCTTACATCCTACTCACAATTGGCCATATAGATTCACTTACATGACAAAATCGGCTATAAATGCGCTTTCTGGTAAAATAACATCCATTGAAACTTCTCTCGTTAGGTGACTTGGATTTGATATAGTACTGGATACTCGAGTTGTTGCAAACCGGTACTTGATGTCCGTGGATATATGTAACGATTCAACCACTGTCGCCTACAATATAAACAATAAATTGTGATACTGGAAATTAAATTCTGATGTAATCTTAATTTTATAGTGCACGAGTCCCGCTGTTAATTATTCATTTTAGGTACGTGACAAATTGTGATTTTATTGATACGTATACTTACTCTTCCAGAACACAAGATACTAATTCGCTATTAGGTATTGCTTATTTGCATACCCCCTCCCCCCCCCCCCCACACACACCAACCGATCACTGTCCCGGTTTTGCCTAATGCAATTTAAAGATACATTAGCTAAGAGTTTAATAAAGAATTCGTAATTCTTGCTATAATAATTCAAAAATAGATGATTAAAAAAGAAAATATTTAAAATTTCATTCAAATTACTTCATTCTGAGCCAAATTATACTATTCAAAAAAAGTAGGGGATATTTGATTTTGGGGGCATAATACTAAAATATGCAAATGACTACGAAAAAAGTCACTATAGAACCTAACAGAAGAAACATTTCCAGATACATGTGACGCCCAAACGCACCAATAGCTACCGCATGGAATGCAGGTGATGCTTGGGATCATCATGGGGGTCCAACCCAAGATTTGCACGACTCTGACTTTGAATTTTACAGTCATTGTGGCGGTTGTGGCGCGGACGATGAATGTTTCTCAGTCTGTCATAAGCAGGCTATGGTCCAGATACCGTGATACACAATGTGTACAGGACAGACCACGCTCAGGTCGACCAAGGGCGACAACTCAATCCCAGGATCGATTTATCCGTACCTTGGCCTTGAGAAGTCGTGTCATCACAGCAAATCAGATCAGCGCTCGTCTTCAAACAGACACTGGTGTGAGAGTGAGTGGCCAGACGATTCGGAATCGACTGCATAGGGGTCACCTTCGCGCCCGACGTAGTCGCGTGATCCCTTGTTTGAGAGATCATCACATTCAGGCAAGACGTCGTTGGTGTAGGGATCGTCAACACTGGGATAATCGACGCTGGAGCAATGTGATGTTTTCAGATGAGTCAAGGTTCACTGTTGATTTTTTGGACAGACGTAGGAGGGTGTGGCGTCGTCGAAACGAGCGCTTCCAAGACGTTAACGTCATCAGACATGATCGATTTGGGGGTGGTTCTGTTATGGTGTGGGGAGGCATCACTGTTGCTGGAAGAACGGCTTTACATGTTGTTGCAGGGCGTGTTACAGGCCAGTACTACCGGGACAACATCTTGGCAGTCCATGTTGTGCCGTTCGCACGACGTCATGGCCGCCGTTTCATCTTCCAGGATGACAACGCAAGATGTCACAGGGCCAGGATCGTTACAGGTTACCTCCAACAACAGAACATCACCACATTACCTTGGCCAGCACTGAGTCCCGACCTCTCCCCCATCGAGCATGTCTGGGACATGCTTGGACAGAGGTTACGTCAACGTCAACAACGTCCTGCCAATGCCCAAGAACTTGCTGCTGCGTTGCAACAGGAATGGGACAATCTGGACCAAAATGACCTTAAACGTCTCATTAGGAGTATGCCACGTCGGATCAATGCTTGTTTGGCAAACAGAGGAGGATTTACCCGTTACTGACTTGGTTGTGATGCTGTGGTAACTTTGCTGTTTGACCCCGGGTATCATTTTACCCTTATAATGGTCAGTCTGTGCCTTACTTAGTCTAACGATCATTTGGAATAAATCGATGAATGTGAACTTCATTTCATTTTGTCATTTGTTTCTTCGTCAGTTTCATTAGGTGACTTTAATAACACTTAAAAATCAAATATCCCCTACTTTTTTTTAATAGTATATTACTGTTTGTAGTTTTGACAAGATGTAATCATAGTGGTAACCAAGATTCTGGTATATTCGGGACTTAGCCTCGCTTTCCCATTTTTTAAATGGCGAACCGCTCTAATCTAGTTAAAATCTCGAGTATCCGATGCCATCGAGAGATGATCGTGGTCTTGTTTTGTTAATAAATGTCTAATTAATAGTTTATATAACATTTCAGACCTACAGAAAGACCTACAATAAGTAGATTTAGCTCTTACATAATGTATGTTTAATGGAATTTGGTATTAGGCCTTTTTCGAAGTATTTTTGTTATCTTTTGAAACTAGTCAGCTAGCAATTGGGTTGTTTCAAGATATCAACGGAAGCATGAACAAAGATTATTAGCAGTGTGATTAAAATTTAATTTTAATTCGCTGTTCGTGTTCTTTCGTCGTTTTAATGTCGTATTTTTTATTTACCAGAGAACCTGAACTATCAACGCGAAATGAAATAAAGATAGACTTTTAATAAGATTGCGCTGTACACATCTTCACCGGTTCGTAAAAATACTAATATTGGATTCGGCAAGATTTAACTATGCAATTACTTCGGGCATGTCCACGTGTGATTGAATGTAAAATCTGAGATACATCTGTGATGTCATTACTGAGATATACAAGTTTCCTTTTCGATTTAAAGGGTCTGGTGGTGGTTTTCATGGACTTTAACGAACTCCCTTGTTGAATACCTTACTCAAGATGAGCCTAGGATTATTTTGAATATGAAACATGTATTATATCAAATGTATTTTCTTTGCTAAATGTGGCAATCCCTCTTTATGTTTAAGATTTTGTTTTAAGATACTAGATTTTTTATATTCAAGAATAAGTGGCGAGGGGTGCAAAACATGTGCACAGATGTATTGTCCCACCCAATGGAATTGACAGTATTTACGGAGCTGGTTTCAATTTGAAAAGAATGTGGGGTTAGGAACTCCCGGAATTATCGGTACAATCAGCATGGTGCCAGTCTAGAACATAAATAAACCTTTAACTTATAAATTGATACAGAAATATACATCGACATTAAAGATACAGTAAGAACAATGATGTGCTATTTCTGTGGGTTCATGATTACAGATGACGTTTTTATAGTTGGACATGTTACTACACATTTTAATCTAAGGAATCTATTAAAGGATCTTCCACCAATATTAGAGTTACCTTTTCTTATCTCTAATTCGGATGATCCTTACGCGAACATTATGGCTAATCTGAGGGGTAGGGGGATTCTATCCCAATCGTTGGTCTAACAAATAACTCCATATTTTATACGTTTTAGAAACTCAATGGAATGGTCCGTATTTCGATGCTAAGAAAAGTCGAGGTACGCGTTGACGTACACGAAACAGAACTCTTGGAATTTGTTGAAGTGTCCGGCAAAATATCCCACATACTATACTGCATGACATTTGTAGGTTTTCGTTAGCCCGGTTAAACGTTAAACCATATTGCATTCCACCGATATTGCTACAGGCGTAGATGTAACGATGTCAGATAACACCAAAACTTACATTAGAAGAGTGCAGACAAAGACGTGTCATTATGACCACAGAAGACAATTCCATGTTGTATAACATTCTTAACGATTTATAATCTGCCAAAAATAACACGAACCTATACACGTGCATGCCGGTTGCATATGTGATAAATATCAATAGGTTATTAATGTCAATATGTCAGAAGATAGATGGTTACACAGTTAGAATTTCTCTTGTGAATAACATATAATTGATTTTTGTTTATAAACGAAATGCAAACATAGAAAAAGACCAAACGTATCCAATTTTGCATTGTAGACAAGTTTACGCTTCAAAGGGCCAAAGCTAGATAATTCATTTGGTTGAAATTCATTGTGCCACATTGTGTCATTAAATGCAAACTGTGCACAATAAATCATAGTTACCATAAAAAAAATATACCAAATAGCGGCGACTCGTTCTTATTTAATAACAAAACTACTAAATGTTTTGGGCTTGGCGGAGAATTAGTGCAGTTTGGGTCATCATTGTACGCAATCTGAGCCTTCGGTGAATAAATACAATTCGGCTAGGGAAATAGCTATTTATCAGAACTTTACGTAAGGTGTACATTAAGCCAGAGCAGTGTTGAATTTATGAGACATACTGTCATTACTGGAGCGAAATCTTAGACAAAGGCAGCATTCTCAGAGATTAGAAGATTTTATTCTGTAATCACCCTCATAAAACTTCGTCAGATATTTATTTGAGGTTTATTTGAAACCTACAAATTGGTTTGTTTAATCGAGGAAAGGTGTGTCATGTAAGATAATTCAAAGCAGAAAACATAAGTTTAATTAGTCCTCGACTTTCGTTTTAAAAATAATTTTTTGAGATATAGTCCCATTTTTCCTCTTTAAAGTCGGTGGCGCGAACCAATTGACCTGTACAATTGGTGAATAAATCAGCCACAAGAAGGGTTTACCACAAACCGAGGGCGGACAACATTTTTTTTATATAACAATACTTTGACTTGGGAATATAATTAACTACATCTACGTCCATTCTTTAACCTGTTTATTCAGGTGACGAATTGGTGAAATTTCTGGTGGCGGGAAAAAGGAAACTGCACTAAATTTCCTATTACAATCGGTGCTTAGATTCCATAATAATCTCCATGGTGACGATAATTTCTAATAACTTCCAGATAATCGCAGAAGTCAAGTGAACACAATTACTAAACACTTATTTTTCTGACATGAGGTCTGTTTACACATATTTTGTTTTGGGGGAACCCTTGGGAATGCCCATTTACGTACATCGGTGGAATTTCATTTTGACACTAAGGAATTATCATACGTTTTAATAATTTCCTGAGAAACTTTCTACAGTTCTTGGTATTAGTGGGAACGCATGCGAACATTTAATGGACAATGGGTTCGCTAGTGTTGGGTCATTTTCAGTACTGTCTTGGACAGCAAAATATTTTGACATGCGCTCAAGTGTCCCCGCTACCACCGGAACACAAATGTTTTCGTTAAACACTTCTCGTGAACGGAACAATATACAAAAACCTTCAAATCTTTAGGAATTCTGCTGATTTAAGGGGTTTTGTATTTAGACACCATTTCACTAATAGAGTTCGTTATAAAGGAAATGCCTTTACATCTAGTCACATACTGTACCATATAAAATAAACTCAAATCTTGTAGCCTTCGGGTCCCACAACAAAACTCTTTCATGTTGTATATACATTAAAAATCATTACTATCAGAATATCAAAGAGCCTTCAAACGCACTGCCAAAAAACATTTCAAAGAAAGGTCTATTTTGGTTGTATAAGATATTTCTGTATGTTCTAGTTACTTCCAGGAACAGATTAGAACAATCGTATATCTCAACAATATTAGAAACTTCGCATTGATAAATAATGTTTATGTTAAATGGGTGAATAGGTAACAGCTTTTTATTCTTTTTCAATTTGGATCGGGCATTCGGCGGGGTTGTGTTAGGGTGTCGTGTATGCCCTAGACTTCCGAATTCTAGGTATAAACTATCGCCAGAATTAGGTAATGACGTGTGTCGTGTTTGAGGAAGGATATGCTTACACTTTCTAGAAAACTGCACACCCATTATTATCGTGGAAGTATTCAAATAGTTAACACATTCTGGTGTACGTTTGTAGTTTACCGTTTGTACGGTAAATGTATGTGTACGGTTTTCTGTGGTGAAAAGGCGGTATTTCCGCTTACTTTTATTCAAATTCTACTTTGAACCTTCATTTTTTTTTCATTCGTTCAATTTTATTCCTTCTTAGTTTCTGTCTTTTGCTAAGGTTTAGCAGCACTAAAATAAACTACCCGATGAAGTTATAAAATGAATGGACAATGCCTGCTGTATATTAGTCGCAAAATGACATACCAAACTTAGGGTGTCTGTTTACAGTTAGCTCCGCTTGAGAACAGACATTAAGCTAGTTGGCCAATATTTTAAGTCCTAAATCGACGATTTTAGTCGACAACACCAAGTATACTTCGAGAATTTTGTTAAGTATTTATTAGACTTCCATTTAATAAAATTGAAAAAGTTTATTTAGTCTATGTGTGTATGACAGATGAGAAACGGAGTAGAACCGCAATACAAAACAGTATACTATTTTCGAAGTATGAAGTAGATGACCCCTGTGTGTAGAATGTCAAAATGGCTGAATTATAGAGATGACGTGATATTATACTCCCATTTATTCCTTTCCTTCCCATACGAAATATATTGCCTTAAAATATATTTTCATTACTAATTTATAAAGCATTTTTATTTCAAGATAAAGTCCTTATGAATGAAATAGTGGTGAGATAATTGATAGGAAAATAAACAATGGCAGTGATATTTTAAGAAACGGGTTCAGAAAATAGATTAGCCTACAACTCGCATAAAATTAATAAAATGTTTTACTCTTAACCTAAATTTGATACAAGATACTAAAAGCTTGAGCCCCGGTTTAACACGTGGAATGGATTTAGTTTTCGGGATAACGTAAAAAGTGAAAACTGAGTTGATCTACGACGTTAATATATTCATATACAACCTACATATTAATAGTTTCATTCATAGTAATATTACTTCTAAACTAGGAAACTAACTATACTACAATAGGTCTATAATAAAACATACCTCGGGGGCCTGTTTCACGAAATTTTAACTAAGATAAAATCCAAATTTTAGTAATTGATTAGACTGATTTTAGTGCTTAGCCAATCAAAATTGAAGTATCTACTAAAATTTGGATTTTATCTTAAGTTAAAATTTCGTTAAACAGCCCCCTATTTACGATTATCAAACCAATCCTATATCTTTTATTTAGCCTAAATCGCTGATCCTAAACAATTTTCTCTCTTTTTATAGTCCCTTGTAACTCGGCATTAACGCAAATTTCTTTAGACAAATGCTAACACTGACATTTTGGTATTATTTTCAAGAGCCATACTTAGTTATTCAGCTAGTAATGTTAGGAAAAGCATAATACAAATAACTAAACAAACAAAAAAATAAATTTAAAAAAGATAAAAATATTTTCCGATCGACCGCCTGGGAATTGCGCTCTACATTCTCGCTAAATTCACCATAATCTAATTCACAGAAACAATATCGTACACTAATAAAACTTTATAGATACAATTAGATGGTTTTCATTAAAAGCAAACCAAGGTTCTTTTTAATTTAAAACAAGGCTGTGATGTTACTGGGATTTTCTTTAATTGCTGAGAGTTTGTAAATTGCCTGTTTTTCTAAACTATCTAATTAATTGTCATGGATGTAATGTCTGTTTTCGTGATTGGAACAAAAGATGCCATAAAAAATGGCTCAATCTTAAAATCATTAATAATATTATATTTAAACCAAACAGATATTACCCTTCAGATATCCATTAGTATTAACTCCCGCTAAAACTTGCACCTTGCTGACGTTCAAAAATAAATTTAAAAATACTTACAGCACGTTGTTCTGACAATCCAACACATAAAAGAACAATTAAAAACACAGGTATCGCCAGGTGTAATGGTGCCATCTTTAAATTGTCTTAAGGTAACCAATTTCCTTCAATTATTCCCCTTTGCAGACAGACACCTATAAACGTTGATTTGTCTCCTATAGATTAGATCATATCTGTGACGCCGGCTATTCTATTTACTCCATCTGCTAATGCTTACATAATAATGGTATAACACATGTGTTTTCCTGGGCAAGTTTCAATTAGATGTATAAAATGCAATTTCTATTGGTTGCGTGCCGTCTGGTCGGAAACTCGTGACCCAATACCAATACCATTGTCCTGACTACCTGAATTTATCTCAACAAATTTTCTAGATTTTTTTTATACCAATGTGAGTAATGTTTGTCCTAAATAATCCACACCAGGTCTTTAAGGGTGTGTGCCATTTTATTGCATGAAACTTTACATGTTTCAATACTTATAATAGGCAGACTTAGTTCATTTGCAAGAAGATTTTCATTTAATTTTATTTAAACAGAGCTCCGAGGTAAAGAAAAAAAATAACATTTATCGGGCTATGTTGCACCGAGTAGGATCAAAAAGGACTTAACAATTTTGCACACAATTCAAATAAAATCGTCATCATGACCATCGACGGCTTATTAGTGACTTCAAAAGGTTACCTTTTACATGATTGTAGAACATTAGACATTAGGAGAGTATCTTTAAGTCCGATTGCATATGCTAACAATCTGAACACCTGAATACCACAAGAAGTTGGTTTAACATGGGCGCCTTGTTTTATACTGGCATTTATATATGTACGGATGTCGTATCTTAAATACTTTTTATTTATTAAAGAGACTCGAGACTATTTCTTTTTGACCGATTATGCTTGTAGTCGCGAGGTCAAAAACGTGTTAACATTCAAATGCAATGGTGCTTATTAAAGGTTCTTAGGCCTGTATTTGTCACACAGACAAAAAAACACCCCCCCCCCCCCAAAAAAAAAAAACCTTCAACTCAGCAATGCATGTTTTGATATTTTTTTCATAGAAAAAGTGACTGCTAGGACTTCATAGTTTATTAAGATATCTTAATAATGATAGACGGTCGAATACCGACGGGGTGTGCGGTGACAAATATGCCATGCTATGATGCATAGTGTATACGACACAATGGAGTGTGCAGTGACCCACTTTATGATGCATAATGTATACAACAGTGACCCATGTTATGGTCCAAACTGTATGCGACACAAATTGAGTGTGCAGTGACAAATATACCATGTTAACATAATGTATACGACGCAACAGAGCATGTGGTGATCCATGTTATGATGCATAATGTATGCGGCACAACGGAGTGGACAGTGACCCATTATTCCAAAACGTATACGACACAAACGGAGTGTGCGGTGAATGCCATGTTATGATGCATAATGTATACGACACAACGGAGCGTGTGGTGACCCATGTTAGATGCATAATGTAATGTATACGATACAGCGGAATATGCACTGATCCATGTAATGATGTATAGTCTTTTATATGACACAGCGGTAGGTGTGGTGATCCATGTTATGATGCATAGTCTATGTCACAAAACGTTGCCCCATGTTATTCATATTGTATACGATACAACGGAGTGTGCAGTGACCCATGTTATGATGCATAGTGTATACGACACGAATGGTGACCAATGTCATGATGCATAGTCTATACGACACAACGTAGTATGCCGTGACAAATTTTATTTACCATGTAGTTTTTGCTGCATAACGTACGTCTGTTTATTCGACAAAACGGGGTTATGTTATGCTGCATAATGTATTCGACACAACGGTGTAATTTAATTATGACCAGTCAAAGTAATAGTGAGTTTGTGGACTATTATCAAAGATTTTAGATAATAAATTTTCACGAGTGCTGTTGGTATATCTTTAAGTTCTGAAAACAATAAGTTCACAAAACCTATTCCTAATGTTAAATATAAAATGTTGCCTTTGTTCGACATTACATAAACAGGTGCATGAGTGAAATGATTTATAAATAAATTCAACCTGTAAAAATAAAACCACGTGATCTAAAAACTAACTTGATTAAAATACTAGGTGTATTGTTTTACGTTTTACTGCAGGTCTAATGATATATTTGTTGAATTTAAAGGTGTGGAGCTGGGACCAGTAGTTCAAACGTATAATTGTAATCACCCGTAAGGGCTGCTGCAAATGAAATGGTGTTTAACGCAGTACTGACTGCGCTAATGAAGACGGACATACGCAACACAGTGCGCTATGGGTGAAATTTTGCCTGGACAACCGACTAGGGCACACCAGTAAGATGTTAATCCTGAATTCACGTTCATTTAAAATTATGTTTGGTCTTGTATTAGTACTTTTTTTATGTTGGGTAGCAATTCAACCCAAGGGCCTAGTCGCCTGATTATACAATAACGTTATCGTGCATAAATGGACACCATGATTTTCCAAACGAAGTGGGCAGCGACGAGGCACATCTTTTACATCGACCAGAATACATTATTTTATTTATTTTTAGCCCTTCCTCCCATGGCGTCGTCACCGCGCCAATTTCACCAAACATAGAAAGCTAATATCACCATCTCTTGTCCAGAAATACATTTTGATCTTTTGTGGAGATTAATTAATAATTTAATACAATTTCATAACAATTTGACCGTAAACTAACATTTAGGCATAATTATATGCATCCACATGACCTTCAATAAAATGGGTGTGTCTGTTTATTTTGGATTTTTTAAAATTATGTTATATTGCAGAGATTTTGTAATATTTAAACTTGTAGAAAAACCGGTGCCGGAATCAAAATACCCAGACTATATATCTTACTTATATATACACCGATCTGTTCACACCTTGTAATAATCAAATGGTCACAGTAAAGTTATATTACCTCAGTAATGTGGGGCTAGTGACACGGGCTGTCTAGAACTCTAGGTTAAAACTAAAACTTTACACGTGGTAATAATTGTCAATTTGAGTAATATCCTTACAGGTAGCTGTAGAGAATTATTTCCCCGGATGCGACTCCGTTAATCGTTACCGCATAATCTTCTACTTTCTCATACGTTTGTTTTACCATTTCTATTCGTTTGGTTCGTGGGGTTTCATTAATGCTTCATTAATATACAAATGCTGCGGCCCTACACCGACGGGAGCGGTTTGTTTTGTCAATAGCGTCCTAAGTATTGCAGGGGACCGCCAAGGAAATAATTATATGTGACAGATTTATTCTACACACCATATCCTAAATTTAAATGATTTCATAAAAGAATTATTGATAATTGAAATTATCGATTGAATCAAGATGTATAGAATATGCATATCTTTCCTTGTTGATTACTTTTTGCATTATTCTGGGCGTTATTGACAAAAAGATGCTACTGTGGATTCTTAATGTCGGTGAATATTTGGACCGCAATGCAGAGAAGTAAGAGCTCGGGCATCGTGAATCGCGACAAGACCGACAGGGTGGCATATGTGCGCGTATACCCCCCCACCCCTCCTCGTAAATGATCGCAATGCAGAGAAGTAAGAGCTCAGGCATCGTGAATCGCGACAAGACCGACAGGGCGGCATATGTGCGCTTATCCCCCCCCCCCCCTTCCTCCTCGTAAAAGACACCACAATAATAAGATTCCATCCAACCTTATATAGGATAAAGTGAGCTGGGGCAGGTGGGTTATGTTGATCTAATCACGATGCGGATTACAGAACCAATCTTCATCTTTACACAAAAACCTATTCACATATTCTAAAAATAAAAATCTGATAAAGACCAGCCCTCACCCTAAAATATATCAAACCCTAGCCCTAACTCTTAGTAAATAAAAATCAACTAGATATAATAATTCATAGCCCTAACAAGATAGTGGAACAAAAACTTTTTTTTTAGACAATCCAATCTCTAGTAAGAAACACACTAATGTGGCTCTCAACCGAGAGCCTCAAATTTATTCTTTTTCTTCAGAAACAAAAATACCAGAAGACCGAAGACCACAAGCACCAACTAAGGCCGATGCCAATAAGACCAGTACCACCAGCCGACTTTCGGACTTTGTATATAATTTTAATTTACATTATATATTTTCATAAAACTAAGAAATACCATGAATTGAATTTCCATCATCCTCGGTCAGTGCTTATGTGGAGACTTAACCTCTCTCACAAATTCTTAAACCCAACCAGTCGGCTTCTATTAATAGTACTTGACCTGGACAACGACGTTTTCGCCCACTCTTTGTCGTATTTAAAGGACAATATGTCAGTCATTATCACATATGTGATAGAACTGGTTAAACAGGTTCCAAATATATTTTTAACACATAGATCATGTAGTGAGCCAGCTCCATACACACAGGAGTACTGCTAGTTTTACATGTGAAGTGATATCAGATGTTGTAGACAACACAAAGCAATCGCAGAATACTATAGAACAAACAGTACATTAATACAGAACAATCTCCACAATTCACAGAAGAAAATGTACATAATACAAAACAATCTCAACAAAACACAGATGATACAGTACATAATACAAAGCAATCTCAACAAACCACAGCAGAAATGGTTCATAATACAAAGCAATCTCAACAAAACACAGAAGATACAGTACATAATACAAAGCAATCTCAACAAACCATAGCAGAAACAAAACATAATACAAAACAATCTCAACAAAACCCAGAAGAAACAGTTCATAATACAAAACAATCTCAACAAACCACAGCAGAAACAGTTCATAATACAAAACAATCTCAACAAACCACAGCAGAAACAGTACACAATACAAAACAATCTCAACAAAATACAGAAGAAACAGTACATAATACAAAACAATCTCATCAAAACACAGAAGAAACAGTACATAATACAAAACAATCTCAACAAAATACATAAGAAACAGTACATAATACAAAACAATCTCAACAAAACACAGAAGAAACAGTACATAATACAAAACAATCTCAACAAAACACAGAGGAAACAGTACAGACTATCACACTGAATTAAAGGACCTAAGTCCGTAACTCAAAATCCTCCAAAAACTTCGACATCGAAAACACGAATTATTGGTCAATTTAAATCAACATTGATGATGTAAACTTACCGGGAAAAGATGAGCTTCTGATATCCGATATTTAAGATAAAATAATTTTTTTAACATTGGTACACGAATCGTGTACCATAATGCGCTTCAGCCCCAGTTGTATAACTTGTATTGAGAGACTCGAGGGACGAGGCTAGACACATTGCACCAAATCAAATGGAGTTATGTAGACTAGAATAACTAGACGCTAGAAATTTGCACTCGATTGAGATTGCTGACTTATTTCGCTGAACATAACTGATTTGAAATTGGAGTAAAAACAGAAACCATTAAATGTAAATCAGTTTATATACATTCATATTACAGTATATGCGTTGCGATCCACTTTTGTGAATTTCTAGGTCCCAAATGTTAGCGATTTAGCTCCTTTAAGTTGAAATCACCAAAATTCGACAAAATCCATCTCACAGATGAACAAAAAGATAAATCAATCAAGGTTATATCAGACGTATATTTCAAATATATAATTAATTACAGCATTCTAAAAACATGTCACAAAAATTTTTTAAATTAAAATTGTTGGAAATAAAGAGAAAAAAATAAACTAATCATATGAAATATGTAATCAATTACAGCATTCTAAAAAAAATGTCACAAAAATACCATTTTTTAGTTAAAATTGTAGGAAATAAAAAAAAATCAATTAATCAAATCAAATACATGTATCCATTAAAACATTTTGATAATAAACAAAAAAATATCACAATACTAGACTAAAAACTTGTGGCAAGAATTTAAAAAGTTAAATATCCACCCAAACAAAACAATCTCTTGTTACTAAATGCTAAATGCTGTAATAACCACTCAAGTCGCGATTTTTTTACTTCATGCCAGTGTTTTTAAAGGGCGTATAGCTCTGTTCTTTGGAACCTTAAAACATAAATATAATGGTTGAAAAGCATATATTAATGTATATAAATACTATATGAATGAATATACTGATGTATATTCAATTTTAAATTTGTATTGTACTGTCGAATCAGTTATGGTGAAATACCTGAGCAGACCACATTGAATGGCAGTCGTTTGCGACTGGTTAGTTCAATATTGAATTTTAATTTGTTTTTCATGTTGAATGTTAGTTATACGCCTTTTAATCTACAGACGGGTATGGTCTTGAAGATATTTAATTATACTCTAAACATTTACATGTAATTACTCAGAAATGCACATATTTTTAGTACTTTACTTATGATATATTTTATACGATAAAGAGTCTTTCTTCATACTGTTATTGTTTAGAAGATTTTCCATTTTTATATTCTTAATTGTATCATTTAAAAACAAAAGCAAAGAAACCTGTACATATACACACACCGGAATGACTACAATAAATAAAATGTATGTATCAACATTATATAATATCATTATATTTGACTATCATTGCACAATATACAACATTGCTTCTTAAAGACTTGAGAGGCCTGGTCAAAACAACCCTCATTAATAAACAGTAATTGTATTCCATAGAATTGAGACTTGTCTATTCAAGTTCAATTACTAAATGCCATTGAAACAATTTACAACACTGAGGTTTGATTTCTTGTAGAGGTCAAATTTCGGGAGACCATAAGGCAACAGTCTTCAAAGTCCAAGGCATTAAATATATCAAAAATTAGTAAAAATATAATTTTCCTCGTGATGTGATTAATCCTAATTTAAAAGGATGTGAGCTATACTTCAGTAACTCCTAATTGTTTATACAAAGAAAGTGGTCCAAAGGTGTATTTTGCCATTTGCAACTCCCAAATATTCCAAATATGTCACTTTATAATGATTAACATTTTCACCAATTTGTTTTTAAGATATACCGTTTAGTGAACAAAAATAGCCATGAGAAATGGTCTTCAAAAATAATCTAATTTGAAGGAGTTTCCACATGACCGGAGGAAAAATTATAATTATGTAATGTTTACCTATTTACATCGCTTTTCTTCAAAATAGAATCTTAGATTGAAATATCTTGCCAAATTATTAATTTCAACAGCTCAAATTTTTTGATTGTCATTTGAAAGGATGGAATTGATCTGATCTCCTACAATAGCCTCCTGTTCCCTTAAATATAATCAGACTTTACAAAAATATTTATGTATATTTCGTGTGAGTACAAATCATGCCCATTCACAATTAATTCACTTTGCCATTTGGAAATTAAATTTAAAACATAAGATGTGGAATAAAAATAAGAAAAATATTGTTTATAGTTTAGACTGTGGTGTACTATGAAGAAGATCTCTGATATACTTATAGTAAGATGGATGAACCTGAAACAATAAAAATATAGGTTCAGACATAAATTTTAACCAGTTACTATAAAACAACTAATGTGTCTTTACATGATTGGAATTGTAAAGACTTTGAATGAAATCTATATGAATTCTTGAAATTTTACAACAGATCAGGGCTTTACTTCCAACTTCTACTAGCACAATTTTTTTTTTAAAGAATGTCACAATTTAGCATTATCCCACATCTTGTATATATTTTTAAATTATAAATTTTAAAGGGATTATCTTTGTTTATAGCATTTCAGAATCTGTTCACTATGAATTTTAACCCCTTTTTTCAATGCAATACAGGTACCTATATTGCTAGCTAAGATTTCAAACATCATTATATTATTTTAATCTAACTGACCAAGCATTATTTTATTACTTTGACCTGACAAACAAATCAAAATTCTACTTACATCTGTTTTGTTCATAGGTTCTTGTTGTGTCGATTCGTAAAGTTTTTCATAAACATTTCCATCGTAAACGCCTAATACGGAACATAGAGTTTCATCATGTATATCAAACGCATCTACCAATGATACAGCATCAGGTCTAGTAAACAATAATAGTTGTGTAAAATAAATATCAAGTATAATAGATATTAATCATGATCAAAGACTTCAGCAAAATGGAGTAAGTTCACTCACTTATTTTGGGGGGTTGGATGGCCGAATGGTTAGCGCGAGTGTGCTGTATCATTAGGACTGTCATTGAGTCAACTGGCGTTGTTTCGATTCCCCAGTTGTACGTGACAAGGAGTAGGGTCACCTGTCCAACCTCGTGGGTTTTCTCCGGGTCCTCCGGTTTCCTCCCACTGCTAAGGACCCCTACGCGCAAGAGAATTATTGAAATAAAATTGAACCATTTTTTAGTCCCGAAATGACCTAGTTGTGTCGAGTGGACGTTAAACCCCATTTCTCTTTCTCACTTATTTTGAAAGTGGTACATTGTAAGACTGCCAGGATTTAGCATGGTGCAGTTTATAGTCATACAATGTTTAAACTATTTTCCTTTACAGCTGGACATATGAACGCTTGGTAATTAATGGAACAGTTTTTATACATTTTCATGTGGACGTATATATTAACACATGACACAATTATACGGAATACAAGTTACTTAAAGGATTTATTTCAGCGACGTTTCGACATGGGTTGTCCCGTCTTTATCAAGCAAAGAATGGCAACCATAGTACAAATAAAGATATATATACAAAATATGGAACAAAGACATACATCTATATACAATGAGAGATAATCATTTGAAAACCATCAAAACCCCAGATTTTGATGAAACTCAAAAGTGTATATCCCAAAGATCTCAGCTTCTATCGATATTTGCATATTTCAGACCATAACTTCCTGGATTATGGCCCCTAACTGAACGATTGCTTAACAAGGTTAATACAAGTAAAAAGAATAAAGAATTCATTATTTACCTGATTTGTGACAATAGTTTGATTTCTTCTTCTCTCATCAATTCTAGCTGATTTAGGTTTATAGATGATGTCTGAAAATATACAGTAATAATAGTGTATATATGCACAAATTCCATACACGTATGCATGCGAAAAGTGCCAAACACTATATACACTATACATCTTTCACTATTTACACAACAGTAAAATTGTTGCTCGGCAGAACACATTGTTATTCCTATTGCATGCAAAATAAGGAATTCCGAAAATTTTAAAGGTACCCGAAATCCAGGCCAAAAAACATTTGCCACATTCACGAGTTGTGTTGGGTATTTTGCAGGGTATAGATACCCCTTCTAGAATAGCAGATACATCTTCTCTTTCTTGAAGTTTACATTATAGCTAACACATTTTTGTATTCATATCATTTCTCCTTGAAATATCTTTCCAATTTTTTATTTCAAACATAAAATCTTAAACAGAAAGATTCTGTACATACCTACTCGAATATGAACTTATCTCTTTAAAATCACCTGATTACTTCTATAAAATCACCTGATTTATTGATGAACTTACCTCTATAAAGTCACTTAAGTTATTGAGGAACTTACCTCTAAAAAATCACTGGTGTTATGAATATACTTACCTCCATAAAATGAGCTGGGTTATTGATGAATTTATTCTATAAAATCACCTATTGATGAACTTACCTCTATAAAATCACAAAATCACCTGGGTTATTGATGAACTTACCTCTGTAAAATTACCTGGGTTATTGATGAACTTACCTCTATAAAATCACCTGAGTTATTGATGAACTTACCTCTATAAAATCACCTGAGTTATTGATGATACCATATAAACAATAAAACACACACAATCGATGTAATACTTGTTTTAAAACTGGACTTAGTACCAATGATTGTACACTAGTTATAAAAGCTTTAACTATAGACATGTGACTGTGAACCTATAAAATACAAATAAGTACATTGTTTTATTATTTAAAATACATTGACATTGAACTGAATACAAAACACTTCATTCTTTGTTTAATTCTGATCTGACTAGCTGCATCATGTTTGTAATAGATCTGATCTGACTAGCAGCACCAGTGTTTGTAATAGATCTGATGTGACTAGCTGCGTCATATTTGTAATAGATCTGATCTACCTAGCTGCATCATGTTTGTAATAGATCTGATCTGACTAGCAGCACCAGTGTTTGTAATAGATCTGATTTGACTAGCTGCATCATGTTTGTAATAGATCTGATTTGACTAGCTGCATCATGTTTGTAATAGATCTGATCTAACTAGCAGCATCAGTGTTTGTAATAAATCTGATCTAACTAGCTGCATTATGTTTGTAATAGATCTGATCTACCTAGCTGCATTATTTTTGTAATAGATCTGATCTACCTAGCTGCATTATTTTTGTAATAGATCTGATCTACCTAGCTGCATCATGTTTGTAATAGATCTGATCTGACTAGCAGCACCAGTGTTTGTAATAGATCTGATTTGACTAGCTGCATCATGTTTGTAATAGATCTGATCTGACTAGTAGCACCAGTGGTTGTAAAAAATCTGATTTGACTAGCTGCATCATGTTTGTAATAGATCTGATCAGACTAGCTGCACCAGTGTTTATTATACCATACCTGACTTGACCAATTGTATACATACACATGTAATAGAAGTCCATGATATTAGTACCTTTGCTAAATCAAATTTTTTTACCTGAGCTGATCTGACTAGTTGAATCATATTTTTATTCCATGCTATATGCTGTTCCAAACCACTTGACATGTCAGCATGTAATCTATGGGCAGTCTTCTTGATAATTCTACAAAATTTAAAAAAAAATATCCATGTACATGTATCACACAATAACTAATGAAACTTTAATTTATAGCTCAATAAAACATATATACACTAGAGCTATATTTTTGTCACAGTCATATAAACAAACAGATCTGATAAGTCCATATGAAATATTTGGGCACTTAATATGTAATTTTATGTTGCAGAAAAACTCACCTATTTGCCATATTCTGATATATATCAGTGAGTATTTGTAGATCATGGCAATGTTCTGATTTCTCTATCGGATTAACATAAATATCATCATTATTTAAGTAGGAAGTAAACCCATTCAGTGTTTGACCAGAAACGTTTAATGCTACTTGTTTCATTAGATATCTACAATATAATAATATAAACAGGGATACAAAAATACAACAGAAATTCTTAGAGAATACAAAAAAAAGTCAGAAATTCTTGGAGAAATACCTACGATAAAAAAAATACAATAGAAATTTTTAGACAATACAAAAGGTCACAAATTAAAGATGGTTGATTTACTAGCTGTCCCTAGAATATTAATTAAAACATTAAATTCTGACTCGATCTTCACCATAGGTCCATACACGACCAGATGTCTCAAAATAGTATAAAGCAGAGCGTTTGTTTGTAATCCTTGTAAAAATCTCACCTGGCCGTTTGTTGATATAAAACAGTATTTTCACCTTCTGCCGTTATGATCGATGCTCCACCAGCCACAGCTTCACCTAAACCAGCATACCACAGGTAACCATGACCACCACAAGCTCGACGACATATCTCCGAATGGTGAACGGACAGCTCTCCTGATATAGCCTTAAGTGCTGAGGACTGACTGTGAAGCTACAATAATTATAACTAAATGATTAAAATGAAAGTAGAATGTTTTGTAGAAAATTCTTTCGAGTCAGAGCTGTGAAAATAATCCGGTTCAGTTGCAAATAAGAAGGGAGAAGTAAGTCAGTGAACATGGTCAATGTGTGAACTACATACTACATGTGAATTCATCTTTTAAATTACTGAACCAATCTGGCCCGAATAAATATTAGAATTCACTAGGGATTTAAAGAAACTAGGAAACTCGAAGGAATTAGGTCTGTTTAAAGTCTCTGTGTGAAATTTGAGGGATTGTTAATGAAAGTTGAATCTCTAAAAGAAATGTCTGTCTAATTAATAATGTTTCAATTCCATTCAGTATGACAAAGATATGATGAATTGATTACTTGTTAGCATTCGACATTCACTTCAGATGATATATAGAATAGAGTCAGAGACACCTGTAAGTTTTGAGGAAATGTTTTGATGGACTTCTTTTTAATCCGAATGAATGCAATACTGATGACACTTTTCGAAAAATGGATCGATAGATAAGTATTTAAATGGGTAATTTCTGATGGATTGTATTTCTCTAAGAATATCTGGTCTTTTGTATTTCTCTAAGAATTTTTTACCTTTTGTATTTCTCTAAGAAATTCTGATCTTTTCAAAAAAAGCAAATAATGCATGACGACTTTAAATAAAGAAATTAACTCAGCCAGAATTATATAAGTACAGATCGAATGTATTTCTCTAAGAATTTCTGGTCTTTTGTATTTCTCTAAGAATTTCTGATCTTTTGTATTTCTCTAAAAATTTCTGATCTTTTTGAAAAATGCAAATAATGCACAAACACTTTAACTAAAGAAATTATAAAAGTAGAGAAAGGCGATGACTTACCTCAGCTAGATTTGTATAACTACCTCGAGCTAACTGTGGATATATTTTATAATAATAATCATGTAACTGTTGAGAAGCAAATGTGAGAGCGTAAGCTGTAGCTAGTGCTGGAAATAATTTATATTGTTGAGATTGATAATTTATAACCTGTTCTTCTTCACCCCTTAAAAATTATAAAGAAACAAATTAATGCTTAGACTGTGAATAGAAAAAACTTAAAAGCTGTCCATTTTTCCATGTATCTAATTATAAATTGCTAATGCCCATGACAAATGTTGTTGATCTGTTTTGTTTATTTAATAGCGTTGATAAATGTTGTTGATATGATTTGCTATTTTGTTCATGTTGATGCTAATATTTAAATATATCTTTTCTTTTGTAGATGATAATTATCCATCAAGCTATATCTAGTTATGAGAACGAAATGACTGAAATTGTACTACATGGAGATGGGATATGGAAGAATGTGGCAGTAATCAAACAGTATGTATCGAGTCTAAAACCATTAATCACTGTAAATTATTCATGTCCTGTACTTACCCAGGTTTTAGAGCAGATTGACGTCTAACACAACTATATCTCATGGCTGCTGTCACAGAACCACATGCAATATTAGCTGCCCAATTGGTCATATTAACACGAACTAACATCATAGTAGCGTAATTAGCTTTACTGTTACCTACAGATGTGAATTTACCACTTCTAGATACCTATAAAATATATATTTATTTAATTTAATAAATTTATTTTAACATAATCCTTTAGTGGCATTTAGCGATTGGAAAACATAACAAAACTAACACAGTTATATGGGACAACAATCAATTATCGAAACGTCATGCTAGTGTATAATAAACCAGTGATTGTTGTCCCATATAACTGTGTTAGTTTTGTTAAATTTATTTTAAGGAAAACCCATATCTTCAACTGAGACTTAAAATTATAAAACCTAATATTCATTGTTATCTTCTATTATTATGTAAACGTAATATTGCCTTGATCTATGTCTTTGTAATATGAACATGAGCACATTTATGTGGCACTTGTACACTATAGAAATGTGTAATAATAATAATTAAATATGTAATCATACTGAAGAAACCAATTCATTCTAAAACAAAAATTCATTGATGGCTCCTATATTTTAACAACTCTTTCAACCAAAGTTAATATTGGGGAAGGGTAGACTTATTTTTGTCAAACTGCTTATCTCCTTCTGCTTTTAATCCAAATATATATAATCCTTCTGTTTTACTTTTGGACATTATATCATTCTTGAACCCAATTTATCTTTAAATCCGACCCACAGTTGAGATGTTGACAAAAATTTGTAAACTCGATAAAAATTGATAACTTATCATGCTTATTTACAGGAAAACTTATATTAAAACAGGAGACATTATTATAGTTTAAAATTCATTAAATAAAATCTGAAGCTGTTAGCCTTTAGGTAACCAAAAAATAAGTAGTTACAACTGAGCCGTAACAAATAAACATTGTCTACAAACCTTGGCATTCTTCATCAACATCTGATCTCTAGGTATTCGAACTTGATTTAATATAAGGAAACCATTATCAACTGTATTAATAGCAATCTTTGGTCCAATATCACCTACTTTTATACCTACAATACAGGGAGAAAATGAAGTTTAAGATCTTTTTTATTGGCAAGTGCTAGGGAGAGCATTTTGCCCATGCAGTAGCCTTTCCCCCTACTCTTCTTTGAATTTAACCCACCACAGGAATCCCATTCCCAAACAGTAAACATTTCTTTCTAGTCCTGGTAAATGAAATCAAATGGGGTTTAACGTCCTACTGTTCTGCTCCAAACTGGGCTAATGAAGATGGGCTTACGTCATAGTGTGCTGTGAGGGAAACTTTTCCAGAGTAGCAGCACTACACCTACTCTTATATCGAATTCCATCTTTCAAGGGATCTTTTACGTGCATGCCAATGTGTACACAGGACCACAGATTTTCGTCTCATCCTGCATCACTGAGAAGGGGAAATCACGCCAGACATTTTCCATGAACTTTCTCGGCCAACACCGGAATCGAACCTGAGACCTCCAACTAGAGAGAGAGAGAAAGAGAAATGGGGTTTAATGTCCACTCGACACAGACTAGGTCATTTTCAATAATTTGCTTGCGCGTAGGGGTCTTTAGCAGTGGGAGGAAACCGGAAGACCCGGAGAAAACCCATGAGGCTGGACAGGCAACCCTACTCCTTGTCACGTAAAACCGGGGATCGAAACCACGCCAGTTGACTCAATGACAGGCCATATGATACAACGCGCGTGTGCTAACCATTCGGCCATACAACACACACCCCCCCCAACCTCCAACTAGTCCTGATAAGTAACTTGATAAATCTTGTTGAATACAACACTACTACCTGGCCCAACATTTATCTAGAAACCATTTTCTTTCTCAGATTGATTTGTTTATGAGGAAATATTATATTGTAGCTTACTATACCTGGTAATGGAGTATGGTCATCTAAACTACGTAGTTGTACCATAAATGGATGCATGCCATAAGATTTATTATCAATTATTAACTGAGCTAAAACTATAGCATGTGTACTTGATTTACCCACTGGAAATAAAGAAATAAAAACACACAATTTCAATTATTTACCTTTGTTAAGATTATATTTTCATGTCAAAAGAATAAGTGAAATTCTGTTGAAAACATGAAATAATACATAGGATAAGATAAAATAAGATTATGTACTGAACGTCCATAAAGGACAGCATACAATATAAACATGTACATAAATAACGATCAATAACAATAAGACAAATAATATTTATATTTACAAACAAAGCAAATAATAGTTTTAATCTAGCCTACATTTACTAACAAGACAGACAGTCTATAGTGGACTCTGTCAATCCGGAAGTATTATTGTACCTTCGAATACTGTATTGTAAGTTTTATTATAATGCACCCTCGAATACACAGAACATAAAATATGATAACGCTTACTGTACATTCAAATTTTTATACATTATATCAAACAATTGCATAACAATTAATTTACTTTGAATATAAATAATCGTTGAATAAATAGCACTTGTCATCCAAGGCTTACAATTGGCCGACCAATTGACTGACAGGTTGTCTTTGTCCCCACCCTTAAACCACTCTTTGAATTCATCTATTCACTTTAAAATGTCAGATAGTGTAGTACGGCCAATTGAATACTTATACCAAGAGATTATAAAATTATCAAGGTAATCAACCAAGACCGACACAGAAAATTGATTGGTGATTGCTTGTCGGTTAACTCCCACTGATTGAAGGCTGGATTATCCAATGTTAACTGAACGCAAATCGTGTGACAGAACCGCTGATTGATGTCGTAATTCAGAATATTCAGAATCCGAATTACTCAAAACTTTTTTGGTTGAAGTACATAAGGAAATTAATCGGGTCATGAAAATGACAGAATTCACAGAATGCCGTTGTATTCAAATGTCGGAAGTGACAAGAGTCCACTGGATATTTACCTCAAAAAGGTCAATGGCCATAAATATACAAGTGCATTATATAAACTATGAATTTGGTTTAATAACTAATTTTAAAAGTTATTTGGCTTTACCTATCGAGTGTTAACACAAGATCGTTGGCCTTACAGATGGAATTTTTTTAAAATGAAGACAGTTTGTCATCTTACAATACATTAAAAAATTCATTCAAATAAACAACATTTTTTTTTATTCTTGACCTACATGTATGAAATCCAGTGAACTCATGAAAGAATTTATACTTTAAGATTTTTGTTTGCGCTACCGGAGTTGATAATTATAAGTATTCATACTTACATCCACCGGGCCACCATTTCATGGATGTAATTTTAGGTGTTCGTAAAACAAATTCATCTGTTGACTGGTCGAAAGTTGCTGTGGTTTCAAGGCCCAATAGATTTGTTCCTAATCACAAAAATAGTTCAATATTAATTTCTCTACCGTATACATAATAACTTGTGTGGGTACATTCATTTTTTTTCATCACTAAAACATTAAAATGGAGTTATTTCCCTTGACAAATAAATCATTACAAATTATTGAACATGAAATCTTGTTTAAGTTTTACTTTTCTGCTCCGATTGAGCTAATGAAGAAGGGCATATGCCATACAGTGTGTTATGAGGTAAATTTTGACTGGATAGCGGTGCAATGGTCTACTCTTATATCAAATTCCAACTGCCAAGGGATCTTTAATGTGCAGGCCAATGTGTACACAGGACCTTGGTTTTTGGTTCCATCCGAATGACTATACGCTGTCCCTTGATCCTTCACCACAGACAAGGAGGAACCACGTCGTAAAAACCCATCAACTTTCTGGGCCAACGCAAGGATTGAACATGGGACCTCCAGGTTAGTGAGCCAGTCTTCCTCTTCCCCATTGAGCCACAGTGCCTCCCAAATAATTAGACAAAAATGAATTAGTAAACACAAGCAATAACAGGCAATAGATCAGTCTTACCATGCCCTAACTCAGTCTGAGCATATGTTCCAAGGATTTTAAAACTTTGGGCTAATGGAAGCCATTTTGCTTTCTGTTCATCTGTTGCTAAGCGTTCAATGGCGGGGATAAACATGGTGTGATGGAGTGATAGAGAAATCTCCTTTCGTAATAAACTGAAAAATAAAAATTTATCAAACAATAAAAAGGATGATTTACATAAATAAAACCAAATCAATGATCTCAATATAATTTTGAAGCATTATATACCGTATTAAAAATTTCCATATAATATTGGTTGTATTGCCTCATTCTTTGTAAAAAAAATGATCCTTAAAAAGTTTCTCCACAGAGCCAAAATTTGGTTATAATAAAAGCTGAATTTAGTTCTGTGAATGTTTACCTTCAAAAGACAATTTTTCAAGTAATTATATACAACAGAGACGCAGAATGTGTATTGTTAGCGGTAGCTTACATTAGCCTATAAATATTCATAGAACGATTATGAATTACAGTAATATTTTGATTGCTGGTTCTTACCCTGTATTTAGTGATAATAACTGGGAGAAATTAAGATAAGTCAAACGAAACAGTAGTAACAAGTCTGATTTCTACATCAAATCCATACTCCTCGCAGTGTTTCGTTTAATTAAACCTAATCCCACTCAAGTATTTCTGTTCCAAATTATGACTGGTCAATAGTCCGATTAACAACCAATACCTAACTGTGTAAAAATGTCATTTGGGTTTAATCAGAGCTCCACATCGTTTACATAACGTTACGTCATGACTCACGAAAATATTTACGCACAATTAACCAGTGCATAGCAAAATATTGCAGAAAAACAAATTACGTTACAAAACGAGGCTATCAACTGTTACAATGTAAACAAATACAATGTATTTTCACCATTTTTAATACCTTAAATCACTGTCCAAAGTTTTAGGGAAGATCGCAGATTAAACGAAGGGCTGTCATGTTGCTGTACTTGGGATAGATTTGATTGAACGGAAAGAATAGACACACTCCCTCAAAAGCTCAAGTATCATAAGTCAATCCAGCAATGGGCAGAGAGGGATTTCTCGGGCCATTGCTTCCGGAATATGCATGAAATTCTATGTATAGTAAATAACACCTCAGGGTTTGTATGTTAGTTTTAGAACTTACGATTCAGCCATAAAATAATCTTCTTCATTCCACTGATATTTTCTCTTTAAATGAAAAAGTTTGACAGATTTCTGGACACCATAGTCGTAGAGTTGTGATTTTGAAAGAAATGCTCGGTTAGGGTTGGTGAATACTGGATCAGAAAACAGTAGTTGTTCTGGATTTTAAAAAAAATAAAGGAAAATTGTAATCAAATATAGTCTTATCACTCCAACCCAAGAATAAGCTTTTGGTTTTGATGGAAAAAATAGAAAAAAAAAACAGTTTCAGAATCTGTCCACAAATTGTTTTTCTATCATTGCTAGCAGCAATATTGTAGCGACATCAATTGTTACGCAAATATACGTATAGTCTTAAATGCACAATTCTGAACACATAGCGTAACAGTTGAATAACTGAAATAAATAATTCTAAAGAAACGAAATATTGCATAGCTGTTGGATTTGATCAAATCACATAATAATGTGATAGGTTATTATCTTTATTCAAATGGGAATTGGTTGATTACATGTTCAGCTATGTGCAGTACACTTTGTGGACATTTTAATTGAAAATTAAGGTACTTATGATTACAAAACTTGTGCAAAGAACCAATGTACTACTGCAAAGGAAGGTCTTACCATCCACTACTGTGGCTGGAGTGTGGGTCAGTTCATCTCACGACTGTTTTACCCCGGGCTGTTTCATTCCAACCTATTTCTTATTGGGCTGTTTCATCACGGGCTGTTTCATCCAGTTTGTTATTGTAATAGCAGTTAATTAACCAAGTTGTACATTTAACTTAACAGTATCGTTAATTAAACTGTTAAACACTTATAAATGACAGGTTAGTCACAGACACACTTATTATGAAAAATCATGTGAGAATCGAGTATTTTGAAAACTGTTCTGAATGGATCTATTTTCTTTCTTTTTTGTAAGCTGTTATTTTGAGGTTTCATAATTATTCTCTGTTTCGACATAATCATTGTTTTATTTTTTCTGCTTTTACATTCAATCAAGAGGAAATTTTAAACAAATGGCTGAATGTTCGCCCGTGTATGCCCCAAACAACTATTTTATTATTGGTTAGAGGCATAAAACGGTGGAGAATAATATTGTTATTGTTATTAGATGAATAAATTATTATAAAATCATAATATAATACTCTTTTTTTAATTGATAAGATGAAACGACCCTATATTCGTGGTATGAAACAACCCGTGTAAATTTGCGATGAAACAGCCCAGGGGGAAACAGTTGTGGGATGAAAAGACCTACTCAGTTAAAATTAGGGCCAGTGGAACCATTAGCCTGAATGAAATCTAACCAGGATGTGAGTAATGGATAGATTTTGATATTTAGCCCAGTTTTCCATATAAAAAAATAACATTTGTCCCAATATGTGAAATAAAGTCCAAAGTCAAGAGTAGGGCAAGCAAAAAAAAAAAAAATAAATCATCACTTCATGTCAAACAAAACGAGAAAATGTTCAGGTTTACTCCTGGTTCTCACCCAATTCATGCCTTCTTTTTGTTCTTTCAGGACCGCCATCTATTATATTTGTTAATTCTACAATATTAAATGTTCCAGTATCTCTTTCCTTCTGTAAATCAGGATTAACCCTCAACCCATTATTTATCAACTTCACCGATTTCGCCATTTTGACTACTTATGTATCACGTGACAGTATAAATCTAGCCCATAGAGTTATAAATAGAACATGGTCTAGCCGGATTGGGATCATCCAGACGTTTCAATAGGCAATCGAGACGACTCGAAAGAGATAAATCATTTTTGAAGGAGACAGCTTTTTTTTTTAAAAAAAAACCACAAAAAAACGGAAAGGTTACTGAACTATCTCTGAAGTGGGCAAAAAGGTTAAAGTAATGTAGTCTAAAAAGATTTTTAAAAAAGGGGGTATTAAAGACTAACACATTTTTTAAAATAATTATCATTCGGATTAAATTTAGTTAATTAAAGGGTGTATAGATCTATTCTATGAAACCTTAAAATAGATTAAAACGGGTATACACAGTCGTTTGCGGCTGCTTAGCCATTCTAAAGGTTTTAAATAAATTGTTATTGTGAACCTGTTTCGAATACGTTGTTGGCCGAGAAAAATTATCGGGATTTTTAGCGTAGTTTCGACCACTTCTCGGGGGTACGGTCAAAGATCCAGATATGCTCTTTTTTTATATAGAACTCCCCAATGGTACGTAAACGTCTAAAAATTGAACGTCGCATGTTGATGTCACATATTGATGTCACATATACCACGTAACCGTGTTCCGTGTACACATTTTCCGAGCAAGTAAACGTACCGTTGACAGTACGAATACAATAGCTGCTCGGGCAAAATATACTCTTCAAAAAAGTAGTAGATATTGAAATGCAAATACCTATGCAGGTTGTGATATGATAAATATTCATGGACACTTGACATGCTTTGTTCACAGATGAAGAACAAAACCACTGAGCTGCACATGCGACACGCAATAGCGCGCCATACACGTGGGAGGGGTTCATTGTCAAATTTGACACTTCAAGGAAGGGTTGATGAAAAATGCCGCGTGCTGGTTTATCCTATCCATGTTTGCTTTCCTATCGGTTCTTGAATAAGATTTACTGTTTAGCGTATCTTTGTTTTAGTGCATTACGTTTAATTTGCAATGAGACGTCTTCAACATGATGAACGTCTACATGACATTGGCTTCAAATTGGTTCTACACAGCGAGCAGTAGCCAACATGCTTAATGTAACACAGTCTGTGATCAGCAGACTGTGGAACCGGTACCAACAAACACACAATGTTGATGATAGACCTTGTTCAGGTCGTCCTAGAGCCACCACACAAGCCCAGTGTCGATACATTCGTACACAGGTCCTGCGAAATCGAGGAAATCAGCTTTCAGTAAACTTGTAACTCGACATCACATGGCAAACAGGCGTCAATGTTGTAGGCAGCGTAGAAATTGGGGTAAACGTTCTCAGATGAGTCCAGATTTACTCTGGATTTCACCGATAGGCGTGCTCGCGTTTGGAGGCGTGGAAATGAGCGCCATCCTAACTTTAACGTCAGATAGCTTGACAGATCCGGGCATATTTTACGGGGTTAAAATAAAACATCACACCAATACAAAGTTTTGCCATGTTTAAGTCAGGGGGTGCGGTATTCATATTTTTTTCATGACTTTTACATATTGAATGTCACGCTTGAGTTATGAACAACACAACAAAGAGAGTTTACTAGGGGAATTTTTATGAGGAGGATCCACATGAAACAAAACTTGATCACGTAACTTTAGTTTATGAGGATGCATATTTGACCATCACTTTGTTAACTACAATACTATATACATATACACATTGACACTTACAAGAAAGTTGTATAGATATTTAAAGTATTTTGTACATTTTGTGTATTATAAATGGATTTCAAAAAGTAAACATAAGTTTGATGGTCACAAACTGATAAGGAAGGGGTTATTAAATTACATTAATAGCTTGTACTGTATGTATAAAGTATACCAAAAGAACAGTCCTTTTTTCCATAAGCAGCGGTGATGCGTGAAATTATACTTCTGGAATATTTACAAAATATTACTGACAGGCTAACTAGACACAATTTTATGGAACACAGTCACTTGCCACTTCACACTTGTCTCCAGGGTGATTATCTCTGTGTTTTATTTTAGCAATGTAAACCATATTGGGATATGTACAGGTTTTATACAGATAGAATCTTAACTAATCCTAATAACTGTTGTAAATAAATAGGAGTTAGGGCCTACTATGTAAAAAATATTTTTTTTTTTTTTTGGGGGGGGGGGGGGGCAAGTATTTTCAGACCTCCCTCCCCCCCCCCCGGGACTCTTTCACCCCCATGTGTGACGCCCATGTACTCGTGACGTCATTTGTGCGGGACTGTCTTTGATCTAGCGTTCTCCTTATAAGCACACTGCATGGCGTGTGTCCGTCTTCTTAATTATCCCGGTTGGAACAGAAAGTGGAGCCACGGTGGCTAGTTGGTTAAGACGCTGGCTCGCTAGCCTGGGGGTCGGGTGTTCGATCTCTGCATTGGCCGAGAAAGTTCATCCAGATTTTCCGACGTGGTTTCCCCTTGTCAGTGGTGCAGAACGGAGGGCCTGACAAGGACAGCTGTCTAGTCCTTCGGATGAGACGAAAAACCGAGGTCCCGTGTATACATTGGAATGCACGTAAAAGATCCCATGACAGTTGGAATTCGATATAAGAGTAGGCGATAGTGCCGCTGCCCGGGCAAAATTTCCCTCATAGTACACGGTATGGCGTATGCCCGTCTTCATTAGCCCAGTATAGGAGCAGAACAGTAGGACGTTAAACCCCATTTCATTTAATTTCATTTCTGGAACAGAAAGTGGGAGGTCAACAAACCCCATTTCATTCATTCATTCATTCATTCATTATGTTACCTGCTTGGAAATTTAATAGGATATTACAGCCCCCCTCTCCAAGGGCGCGGATTTGTCATAACTTTTGAGAGGGGGGGGGGACGGAAGAACTCTGGAACTTGGAACATTTCATTACCAAACGAAATAAATAATTACGAACAGTTTACTGTACCAGTGCTATTTCGATGAAGGCTGTAACTAGGGATAATATGATGACAATTTGGAAAAATTGACTACCTACATCAAAGCTGCATAAATATTAATTGTTCATGAAGTTAGTGAATCGTCCAAAGACGTTCATTCTACGATCTGGACTGTTCTCTATGAATATCTTGACGACATGCTTTGGGTCCTGATCATGAATATCTTGGCGACATGAAGGGGGTCATTATTCATTATGGAGTTATTCGCCCCCCCCCCCCCTTTCCGATTCTAAGGGGGGGGGGGCATGACCCCCCACCCTCCCTTAAATCCACGCCCATGCCCCTCTCTCTTTGTTCCAAAGAACGCTAAACCACCCTTTTACATCCGCCATTTATGAATAACTAGGTGATGATTATTGGGATAATGTAAATTAAGATTCAGTGCTAAATAGCGTGAAGATCCAACTATGTGATATTAAATTACCTCTTACCACCTAAAGCTACACTTGAAAGCTTTATTGCATTGAGCGGCTGTAATATCTGTTCTGGGATAAGACACGGATTTAAAGTTTGGTATAGAGGATGGTTTTAACAGTTTCCTGGCGTGTGCATATATATACCCACCCCATTTTTAGTTTGTGGGGGAGTTCACATAGATATTTTGTAGTTATCTTGACATTTGGGTTATAAAAATACGTCATACTTGTGGGATTTTAAGACCGAGGCCATTGTGTAATCATTGGCGTGAACGTAAAAGAACTCTTGACAGTTGGATTTTATTTAATTATTTTTTTTGTCACCCTGTAGAAAAAGGTAATTGTTTGATACATTCAAATAACTTGTCTGTACAATTTTTAGGGTATCGACCACCCTATGTAATATGAAAACGTATGTCTTCGTGACGACACTTTTTTTAAAGCTAACATGTAGTAGCCCAGAGACAGTTTGTTGAACGTTAGAGTTGGGTGGCCTAGAGGTCTAGAGTGTCGCGCTTCCAGCTCTATCTTGCCGGTGGGTTTACTCGGGGTGCTCTGGTTGTTTCCTCCAAAAAAGGCGTGCGCCGAACATAGTAAATTAAGACAAATTGTCTGCGATATCACCTTCGGTGGAAGCGGACGTTAAACACTAATAGACGAAGAAGACGTTAGCACCCTACACCACCCCTTAATACCGGCTACACCACTTCTTGCATGAACTATGTATAAAGGATGAAAATCTCCGTCGTCGAAAATCCGTCGCTGGTTTTCTTATTGCTGCTTTTGTTGCCATTGATTTATCGCACCCTACATTAACAAATTCCTGTAAATAATCGTTCCTGTACATTAACTTAAGTATAGTAAAATGAGGCCAACCTACTCAAATTCATGTGTCAGTTTGTTTCATGGGATTTTAACAATATAATTAATGCATGTTGCATCTTTCAGCTTTATGATGATGGTTGTTATCAAGTAAAGTACATGTATTATGGAATCCATTCATTCTTCCTTGTCACAAACAAAACCATATTTACGATCCATTTCAACAAGACAACGTTTATTCTCTTTAGTGAATTCAACGAAAACAATTCATCACATATTTATTCGTGAATTGATTTTCTGCTTTGTTTATCTGAGGTTATACTAGCAAAAGATCCATGGCTACAGTTTATTATTTTGATATATTTAATTCATCAATATAAATATAATCAAATATGGTAACACACAATATAAAAAACAGATTGTTAAGTCCTTCGGTGCGGTAACTTACTTGTTTGAATGACAAAATAATCATCCATATAACCATATAAGTCCTTTTAGTCAGCAAATCGTTCTATATAGATAATCTTGGCAGTCGCCAAATTGTATTTGTCTAGAATGTAAACACTTCTCCATCTTTCAAACGTAAATGGGACTTACTTATAAAAGCGTTATGTAAAATCGTAGATAAAGAGCTAACCGTTTATAGCTAAAAAATAGATAATGAAAAAAATAAATATATAGACCTTTTTATTCAAATAACTTTATTCTGAGCGAAGCTATAGGTGTTTGAAGTTTTTGCAAGATATAGCGCAGATTGTATGTTATCGTAGCAACGGTACTTGACAATCGGAAATCATAGTCTCAATTATTCACTTTATCGTTAAGTATCGCGGTTGTTCTAATCCGTTTAAATTTCGACCATCCGATGGTCTAAAGAGATGATTAGGGGCTTTTCATGTGAATAGATGTCTAAATGATAGTTTATACAACAGTTGAAGCCATAATAGAGGCTGCAATAGGCAGATTTAGCTCTTACCCGATGCATCTTTAAGAAGACCATTCAAATCCTGAGCTGAAAAGTGTTGATTGACAAGCAAACCTGCGTAACCTAATAGTCTATAACTGCCCATGTTGCTCATTAAGAAAACGCTTCCTTAAATTGGTTATTGAAGAATTCCTAATAGAGCTCAACTTCTCAACAATTGTCAAATTAACCCGGTTGTAAAAAACAAAAATGAAATAAACGTGATGACAGGGTTGGTAAGAAGGCTTTAATCGATAAAATGTCTCTTCCAAAACATATTGGGAAATTGTATTAAATTTCCAACAGCTTAAACCGACATTGTAACACCAACATTGATATAAGTGAAATGGATTATAATCTCCCATGTTTCTGCACCGACTGGGCTAACGCAGACGGGTATACCCAATACAGAGAGTTATAATGAAAGTTTTTTCCCCGGACAGAGCCACTACGGCCTATTATTATTTCGATTCCCAACTGTCATGGGTTCTTTTACGTGAAAGTCTATGTGTACACGGGACCTCGGTTTTTTTCCCATCCGAACGACTAGACATTGTTCCTTATCAGTTTTTCCGTCCTCCACCACGGACAGGAAATTTCTCGACCAACACTGGGAGTGAACCCGAGACCTCTTTATGGAGCCAGCGTCCTACCCACTGAGCCAGTGCGGCTTCCGAAAATTATAGAAGTAAAGATCAATATTTTGTCCAGGTGATTTTACATATATAACAAGCACTGATGACAGAAAGTTAATAAAATTGCCATTAGCGAGACAAGGAGTGTGGACAGATGCTTCCGGCGCCTCGACTTATACATTTTTCATTGATATTATGGAACGATGGAGATTATTTGGAATAATATGATTTTATGTTTTTGTTTCGGCCACGGAACAGGATTAATGTGTCGTTGTCCGGGCAAAATTTCCCTCATAGCACGCTGTGTGGTGTATGTCCGTCTTCATTAGCCCAGTTCGGAGCAAAACAGTAGGACGTTAAACCCCATTTCATTTTATTTCATTTCATTTCACTAACCTTTAAAACACGTACAACAGAACAAAAACAACTTAATACATGGCTGTTATATGTTATTGGCTTTTGTCCTTTGTAATAACCTACAACTATCAACTTTTGATATTTTGAATTTCAAAATGGTTGTTGTGGGGTTTGTATGTTTTGTAAATATCATTTGTTTGTGATGAGTTTTAAACATGGGGCGTTTGATGAATACAAATATGGTACACGGTTGGTTATAATCATAAAAGATAAATCAAATACGAAAATAAAATGAGAAAAAAAACATGATCTTTTGATATTAAATATTGAATTCCCAAAAAAAATTCACGCTACCGAGCTACATGAATGACAGTCAATCAAAAATGGCTACACAGCGCCTGAAACTTGAGCCGTATCAAACCCTTTCTAGATAGGGGCAAAGTTGTGAGTCGGCGCCTAGCTTCCCCAATCGCCGCGGACCTCTTAATCACAACAGACTTTTTACCAGTTTCTTCTGAAGCACTTATCTGTGGCATCCCACTTCGCGGAATTTAAAAGGACGTTAACCCCCAAATTCAAGAAGAAAATTCAGAATTTCAAAGTGCAGCAAAGCTGTTGTCATCCTAGTTCACACACTAGAGGGCAACGCGTTCTCTCGGAGATACACGGGATAAATGTGGTATTAGGGGTCTGGGGAAGAAGAGACATAATGTACTAGTATAACTAATTCAGCTATATATAATTCTGCACGACAACACAAACATTATCCGGAATGATCGACTCGTTCTCTGGTTGTTATGATGATGAACGGAAGCCATATTTACCTTTGTACCCTGTTTTCGCCGGACCCTTCAATGGTTCCCTTTTTACAGATCTTCAGACGGACAAACTTTAAATTGATCGAAAGTTTTTAAGATACTTCTCGATTGAACTATTTAAATCAGTCCTCTACAATCTTCTCCAACTCACCACCTTCCGCCACCACAACCCTCGCTGCTTATTGAAAGCCTTAACATGTATTTTTTTTTATTAACCTTGATAGAATTCTGTTTATTTATAGGTAGCTCTTTAAAATGCCCTAGAGAACATACGGTGTTGATGAACAGTTAACATATGTTTCCCTTCGTACGGATTAATTGGCAAAAACCTGTAACTTAAAATAAAAATGTTTGAAAATAAAATATACAGTGTAGTGAAAAGATATAAACAGTTACTGGGTTTCATGAGGTAGTTGTTAAGAATCTATTTGTGTGCTATGGAAAAAAAGTTAGAATCTTGACTGCTAAATTTTTTATGAAATGGTACGAAAACAAAGAACAATATTATAATATGTTTGGAAATTATTTTTGATAGATTGGTAGGGTGCCCCACCATAAATAAATATCTCCAAATATCTCGACAATTACACCACAAGATTTATATATATATACCAAGCCTTAAATCAGTTTGGCACATTTATAGTCACTAAATAAACGGTCATCTTGTACTTAATAAGCTATGACCATTTAACCATCCATAAATATTAGACTGAAAAGTGGTTACGAGTTTCGGCCATAAGATCCGGATGCTTTTGAGTAAAAAATAGGTTAAGTGCCCTTGTTTTGAAATTAGTCTCGCTTAACCAGTCTACCGACCATTCTCCGTCTGATTGACAGGCCGGGATAATCAAGCCTACTTTTTGACGAAACATAACACAACAATTGTTTTAAGAACCCTGTAAAAGTAAAATGAAACTACCGCTAGTATCATGTTCTTGCCTAACGCGAGTGTTTCAGAGATATTATTTGTACTAAACCAAATTAAGATGCCGCTCCTAACTGTATAGTTAATGATAAAGCAATTTATAAAATAAAACGAATGTAATTTCTAAAGCTGCTGTAATAACCAAAAAGCTAAATATTACCTCTACTCAGAATCGTCAACAATAGATTTTTCACGGCTGTATTAGTTGATAGATGTGTAGAGAATTTCACGTGCGATGGCTATTTATAGACTCTTATGCTGAGTGTCATTGCATTGCGTGATCAGTCAGAAATCACTTCGAGACAAGCCACTAAAGCGTGCACATTCGCCGTGTCGAGTTCAACTTTCTGTTGGGAAAATTTTAGCTGCATTGGGCACACTAAGATTGGTATGATTAGTCAAAGCCTGTAATTAGCAAAAAAGAAAATCAACATTCTGCAGCATTCTAATCTAACAGAAGGCACAACTAACGTTTACACGGCAGACCGTTTGATCACTGCCGTGTAGATAACAGATCACGTGATAACCTTATATAGACAGATCGTATAACGGTACAGACAGTATATTGACTTGATTTCGTTAAACAGCTGACACAGAGGCGGTCTAGGGTGATAGAAAGTCTAACAAACTGATAGGAAGATTAAGAGGTGAACGAACACCCGTTGATAAGATAAAAGTTAATTGATCGGCAATACCAGAACGGACTGTGAAAAAATTATTATTGTTTCATCTTTCGTGTTTCAAGTGCAGGGAGAGAGAATTGGATTTCAGAATATTGAGGCAACTATATGCATATCAAACCTTTTTCTGTTAATTGAATATTCATTTGTGAAGCACTGATTTGAAGGTTCAGAAGGTCGATCGGGAAGTTTATCAATATTGATATCACGTATATAGAGTGTTGGGAAACTGGTTTCATCTGCAATTTAAGACGTCATTTAGACTCGTGGAATATAGGTTAAACAATTTCTTCTAAATAAAGTATCAAATTCCCAAACAGTGTTCAACGAGGATACACGTGTTAAAATGGCTGCAGTAAAATCAACGAAAGTTCTAATAGCTATGGACGGAAGTGATCCATCTCTCTATGCCTTTGATTGTAAGTATACATACTCTATTCCTCTGTTATAATGGTCTAACAGCTAGTAATTCCTTTACGAGCGTTATTGTAAAACTAATCTAGGACTATATTAAATCCATGGCTTTTATACAGTAGTTCGGTTGTTCTAGCGAACAATATAGTTTTTGCTTCTGAAGTGAAAGAAACGATCACCCGTTTTCCGTACAAATAGTGCACGAGCCAGGTAATGGTTACTCTATCTGGAACACCCGGTTTTATTTATTTTTCTATTGGGGAGGGGACATGATAATGTTATCATTCACTTGGGGGTCCATATAGGTAACGGTAACAGTTGGGGGAGATGGGACATATACGTAACGGTAACATTTATTTGCTCTTGGGACTCAAGCTGCTGGTCTATTGCCCAGAGACCAGTGCGGTCCGGGTATGATTAATGTACACAATAAGTCAATAAAAAATTTTGATCTGATTATATGGGGATCATGTGGCTAAGTGGGTAAGACGCTGGCTCGCTAGCCTGGAGGTCGGGTGTTCGATCCCTGCATTGGCCGAGAAAGTTCATCCAGATTTTCCGGCGTGGTTCCCCCTTGTCAGTGATGTCTAGTCATTCGGATGAGATGAAAAACCGAGGTCCCGTGTATACATTGGAATGCACGTAAAAGATCCCTTGGCAGTTGGAATTCGATATAAGAGTAGGCGATAGTGCCGCTGCCCGGGCAAAATTTCCCTCATTTCCCAGCATAGTAGCAGAACAGTAGGACGTTAAACCCCATTTCATTTCATTTGATCTGATTATAATTGAAAGAGAGGAGGGGCAGGGGGGAATGTTGGTTGTATTTCGTTTTTGTAATCTGTATCCAACCTACAAATACCGTACTAGTGGTGTTAATACCAATATTTTATCACTCAGTAATATATTTCACAGTTGATATCGGGGTGATATCGTCTGTCTGTTATTAACATGATATCTGTGATTTATTATTGAATGATCACCGCATGCATGTTTTAGACCAGACAGATGTACAGCCAACTCGACACCGCGTCAGTTATGGGTAGTTAGTCATACGTACGGGCATTCCACTACAATTTGCAATAGATGTGGCGTATCTCTTGTCATTAAACTTCCAAAAACCAAGAATTTCGGGGGATCCTTAACTAGATGTTGTGAAAAAGGCAACGGAATTTTTTTTTTTTTTTTTTTTTTTTAAAAAAATAAATTATTTGCTTTTTCAGTATTCGAATTATTTTTCTTAAGTTGTGAGCAGTTATTTATTATTTTGCTGATCACGTGTCTCATATATAAAAGATTAAATGAACCGCCCCAGAAATGATTTAGTGAATAAAATGGGTTAAATCAGGATTAAGGAATATTGCAAATCATTATCTAGCACTTTGTGTTATGTTTTGGAAGAAATACAAAATTTAAATGTTATATTAGCCATAACAGTCCACACTGTTTACCGGGAAACTTGCCAGAAATGTTTGTGGGGCTAGATCAGCATAGGGCGGGAAAGTGAGCGCAAGAAAGAAAATTCGTCGCTTCCAACCACTTGGTTAAAGGAGAGTATTCGCCAAATGGTACTATTCAGGGCAATTCTTACTTCCATATAAAGACACAGCGCCTGCATTTTAAAAACCTATGCAGGCAAGCAGTAGCTAGATGGTCCTGTTTTTCCACGAGTCACAGTTTGTACCCCCCCCCCCCCAGTACTTTCCAAGGCCACCCGCCACCCCTTCACGTAGATATATTCGACCTTTACCCGTAAAGCAAATCTTAAGACCATCTCCGAACGCCATTTTGGCTTTGTTTTGTATTATTTATCTTACTTTAATTTACAGTGTTCGGTGAAAGCTGGGCATAGTGTCGTCGTACAAATGTCATTCACGACAGCTTTACATTAAAGTATAATACATAGTTTTATTAGATGAACATAACATTATTGATATATATTCATAGTGTGTAAGAGGCTTTAGGATTGATGTCATCTCTACGGCTCCAAAAGGAAATATTATCTTAAGATCCTGTAATCTTATTGAACATCTCTGTGATATTTAAAAACTATAGCTCTTTTTTAAAGGATAAATATTTTCAATTTCGCTGCAAGATTATTCAAAGCTATATATTTCGATTTTTGTTTCCGTTCGAGGCGCCAACATCTTAGTCTTTTTGACTTAAGGCGAATCACGTATATGTCGACTTAAGGTGAATCGCGTACGTGTCAAATATAACAAAACTAATTTAAAACCATTGATGACATCGCAGTTTCTGACGATATTGTTTACTATAGCTAGCAGTACAATGATAGATTTCTAAGCTTTCAGGAAACGAGGGGACGTTAAACAACTAAAAACAAAATCTAATGATAATTGAACTTACATTCGAAGTTATTTTCGAATACACATTCATTAAAAATTACATGGCCAAAAGCTATCAGATACTGAAGGCAAACAATCATTTGTCATCTTCCTCTTCGATGACGATAGAAATTTGACAAAATAAATGATTGTGGCAACTTTTCCTCTGGATGATTGCTTCGAAATTGAAGAACCGAAACATGGCAAAATGAACACGAAAATCCGAGGTCCCGTGTATACGTAAAAGAACCCTTTCTGGTTGGAATTCGATATAAGAGTAGGTCGTGGCGCCGCTGTCCAGGTACAATTTCCCCCCATAGCACACTGTATGCCGTATGCCCGTCTTCATTAGCCCAGTCAGAGTAGAACAGTAGGACATTAAAACCCATTTCATTTCATTTGTTCTATACCGACACGCAAAGCTGATGCGACAATCTATATTTTTTCACATCTCTGCCTTTGCGAGAACTGTCTACAATGCTGAACTATATTTACTAATTATACATCACCTTTAAAAATATAGATTATTTCAGTGGTGTTTGGTAATTGAACATGACTTGCACGTAACATAGCTCTATTGAAATACAGTAAAGAATAATTATATTTCACAGAATTATGCCCCGTGTATAGTGGGGTTTTATATTATACCCTTGTTGTAATTATTAAATATCTAATTTACCTCTATTTAATATCAAATAATTGATGATAATATTATATATAGCTGCAATTAGACTATAAATTATAATTCTATAAGTAGATTACTGTCGAAATCAGCTTGATATATTATAACAATTGATGATAACATAGCGTGAAACAGACTATAAATCTCTGAACATCCTAGTTTTATTAATTGATTTTCATGTGTTACTTTTATATATTAATATAGTACATGTAAGCTTCATGCTTCATGATATAACAATGTACACTACACTGATTTTAAAGGTCCAATTCCATTGAGGGTCGTGGGTTTGGGCGTGTAGTCTAACATGAGGCCTGTTATCTACCACCCTCACTCCATCCCTACCGAATCCAGACACACACACCCACATGCGGTTATATTCCATCTACATATACGGCTATAATTAGTAGAGGATGAGTGGTCAAGTGGTCTAACTCGAGTGATTTAGATTATATGATCTGTCTTTTGTCAAGTGGCGTGGTTTCGAGCCCATTTGTACGTGACAAGGAGTATAGCCGCCTGTTCAACCGCAAGGGTAATCTGCTGGCCATCCGGTTTCCTCTGAAATCTAAAGAACCCTTCGCCGCAAGCCATGCAAATTAATTAAAAGAGGTTCGTTACCAATGTTACCTTAATTGCAATGGATGATTCGTTTGAATTCGTAGTATCTGGTTGTCGATACTACGACAGAGCATGGTTTCTGTATATGGATGTATTCTCAAATTACCTGAAATCCCTGTTTACCGAAAGCTGCGCCGAATCAAACTGTTCCATACTATTGGTGCGTAAGTCGTCTTTCAACAATGTGATAGCCAACATAACCTCAAGCTCACGTTCTAGTTTTGATTTATTTAACACGCATTGAAAATACTTTTAGCCGTTTACAACCATACCATCGTAAAATACGACTATAAATGTTTAGTTTAGCAATGATTGTAGGTTATTATTATAACATAAGTAAAAATAACGTCAATCTGTTAAAAATCATAACCTAAATTGATTTTTTTTACATAATCCTATAAATAAAAGTAACTTATCCGGGATGAATTATCACGTTTTACACACCGGTTTACACTTGTGCGTATTGATTTGTTTTATCATATACAGAAATTAACAGAACCGGGTTTTCGAGGACCACCGAATGTATACGTATCTGAGATCGAATTAAAACGACATGAAATGAGCTTAAATAGCGTTTCGTCTACCGCGGAAGCTGGGGTTAATCATCGACGTTGGTAGAGGACTTAAATAGGCTCTTGCCTATTGTTCAATCCGATTTAGTTTATTGAATAAAATATTATTTTAACCAAGGATTCAACGGTAAACGACGATAATCAATCAATCAGACAGGCTTGCCTGCGATATTACTACCACGGAAATAGACGTTAAACTTCAAACAGTCAGTTGGGGTTTAACTTTCGATATTTTTCTGCACAACCCGGTTTAATTATATACTCTATGCAGTGCGCTGTGGTTGGAATTTTCCCTGGACACCGGTGTTTACGTCTACTGCCCTACTGTTGTTCTTATTCCAACTGCCAAGGGTTCATTTACGCGAAAGCAATTTATGAGATTGAATAAGAATGATATTGGCGTCTGTTTGGTGAAAAAGTATATATTCGGGCGGGATATTTTATGTGAATTTGATCTTGTGCTGGGTCGCTTGATGTCCACAACACCCAAAATCATATTTCACAATACTGTTTCAGAAATAAATATATGTAACGTGTTGTCAAGTCTTCCGTTACATACATAACCAATAGGTTAAAAAAAACTGCATGATAGTCTCTAAATTACCAAAGCACTGTGTTAATTAGCAAAATACACTTCATTCTTTTCCGATTACATATTCTACAAGTGAATTTGTAGTTTGGTGCAATACATTACCAACTAAGAAAGCCAAGTAAAGAATTTAGCTAGACGTGTAATGGTTTTTAATCAGAAATTTACAGTAAGCCTAGAAGCTAGTTTATTTGATAGGCCT